TGATACTGTTACAAGGTCGTTGAACCAAATGGTATGTGGGGCCTCGATCTTGGTTACCCAATTCTTTGTATTTGCTTCATATGCTTAATTGATTGATCACTGTCGTTACCCTCTTTTATTTTTATTTTTTTTCTGTTTTCTTGCTTTCCCTACCGGCTCATGGTTGAATGTGGATTCCTAGCAGTTGACTCTGAGTTCCCTCTTCAATAATGCCTCAGCAGCTACATCTATTGAACTGTTGCAGACGAAGTCCAGAGCCTATGACAGTACTGCAACTCTTTGGTTCTGCTAAGACACATCGATGATCAATCCCTACTAGGAATCCCATGATGAAGACCCAATAAACTCCTAAATGATCATAGGAGTTTCATCACCTGATATCAAAACAATGCAAGTATTGACATATATTTTATTTTCCCTGTGGAAAATGCTTTTCAAAAGAACAAGAAGTTGAGCATCTAACATGGAATCTGGACATAGATCTCATGATATTATCTTTTTTTATATACCTTAAATGGCAAATGTGCCAGTCAAATCTGCAATAGCTGATAAACAAAAGCTTCTTGAAGTGTGTAATCAGATAAGATATTTATCAGCCCCACCGTGAGAAGCTGTCCAGCAACTTCTATTTATTCTTTTGCTTCAGATTCAATACTGAGCATCCCCCTTTATTCTTTGGAGGAGCACCATGTTGTACAATTGGAGGACAAGAAAATGTCATCCTCCCAATTCATAATAATGTGCTTTGCTAAAGACTTCCACTAAAAAATATATATATAATACTATGATTATCAAAAGTTCCATATCCTTCCATGTTTATTGACCAATTCACATATTTTGATCTTTTCCACAAAGACAGAAAACTGATGCCAGTCCTATCATCTGTAAATTTGAATCATTGGTCTAAATTTCCTTCACATCTTGAGTCAATGTCAATCTTTTAATTGCAAACTATTGATGGATTGTGAAGTTGTCAATTGTCTCTAACCTTCATCCACTAATGATTTAACTATATCTTAAGAAGTACCTCTCTTACCTATGTACTCCACCTAATAACCATCTTTCTAAATCAATCAAAGCCCCATTTCTTGATATCAGAAAACCCAATGTCATTTCTTGCAACATCACACCATGTTCCACTTGTTTTATGTTATACTTTCAATAATTGGTTAACGATAACATGGATATTTCACTGTGGAATTCGTCTTATTAGAACTATGGGAAGTTGGAGACCAAACCCATTGTAAGTGGCCCAGGATTTGACTATTTCCCCCACATGGCTTCTGAAGTACCTTCTGTCTTGGTGCAGAAATCACAAATCCAACATAAACCCAAAATAAGTAGATAACCAAAATTTTTAATGCTTAACAATTCAATTATAAAGAAAAGAAACACCAAATTAATTGTTCATTTATTCCCTAAGCTCCCTGATTATTGAACACAAATTGGTTGACAAGTTTACTAGTTTTATATAACACAAAATGAATGGAAAAATGGATCTATAATCTCTCTAAATATAATAGTATTGCTTTGCATTATTATGGATATTAATGAAACTAAAAGTGAAGATACTATTTGTATAACTTGATATATAAAAGTTAGATTAAAGTGATTGGATGTAAGTTGACATCTTGTTAAAAAGAAAGAGGGCAAATATTTTGTAGTTTAACTTTCAGGTTCTGCAAGTGAATAAAAGCTAATCCTAAAGGACCAAATCCTTTATTGGTGGGAAATCATCAACTGGTTTATATTCTATAAATGGGAACAATATCAATGGAAAAGTTGTTTTAAGAAGCCCCAGGGAGCTCCGGGTGTTGGCTGATTTGAAATGGTTGACCCTGTCCTGTAATCAATCTCTATGGGGAACAAAGGCTTGCGGTATAAAGTTTCAGACAGACTAAAAACACATTATTTACTTTTTTGATGAATAATTTTGACATTATTACAGACAGGTTTCAAATGACTCAAACTTATATCTATGTTTTTTTTTTAATCTTTTGAATTATGATTGAAGTTCTAATTTGAAACTTTTAATCTTGGAACCGATTTTGAATTCATTGCTAATCAATTTTTGGATATTTTAACTTGGAAATATAGTATATTTTAACCCTCATTGGCTAGGATTCAGATTTCCATTCCGTTAAAGTATGCTCAATTTCATGGATGCTGGCCTGCAGGCTAAGCATGGAATAACAAAAATGTCAGCAAATATTTTTAGAAAAAGGAAATTATAGCAATAGATTGGTCAAACTGGAACTGCCCAAGCACCCCACTTTTCATTTCTACAAATCAAACTCCATAGATAGTGTTAAGGGAGTTGTTGTTGAGATATCGAATGGGACACACGTGTATCCAATTACTTTTTTCTGCATTAAAACTCGAAAACAAGGAAACAGCTGTCTTAGAACAAAGAAACAAATATGAAGAGTGTTTTGTTTTTGTGATATGTGAAAGAAAACTTTTGAAGGAGAAAAGAGATAGAGTGGGAAAAACGTTCAAAGAGATATCGGCACCTTTTCCCCATTGAAGCAAAGAAAAATTTAAAAAGAAACTAAGTTGGAGAAAAAAGGAGCTTTTTGAATAGAAGAAAGTAACGGAAGAGCCTTTTGCATGGTCTCCAAGAACCATAATTATTGATATCTTGAGGCTTTTAAGATAATATTTCAAAAATCATCTCTCTTCCAGCAAAACTGAGCTGGTTTGCTCCTCGAAATGTCAGCTAGTTTTATATTTTTATGCTTAGACTGATCTTTAGTGATGGAATCTTCTAACAATGTGACCTCTGATCCCCCAATGAGTTCTGATTGAGTAAAAGAGAAAAAGGGTTGTTGTCAATACCATCATTGCTTGGAGGGAATGGAAGTGAAAAAGAACAAAAGAAAAACCCCTCAGCATCATCATTACCACATTGCAAGCAAAAGTTGGTCACAAGAAAGGTTGTGGCCAGGCCCTGGAGGGAAAGAAAAGAGCCCCATCTAAATTGCCCTCTTCTTTTGACCCCTAGTGGAGTATACGAAAAATTAACTTGATGCCCTTTGAAAATTTGTATTGATTGATATATGCCCTGTTCAATGCAGTTTCTAGAGTTTCTTTCTTCTTTGTCTTGTTTAATTGAAGTGGAATACTAAAAAGAGTACTGCTTAATCTAGATTTGAATGCATATATATCTTCATATGTCTCAGTTCCAGCATTCATATTGAGATTCACAATAAATAATGATCAAAGGGAACCTAGGATTTGCTTGTTCCCTGTTGCTTTATGATTCACTGCATATGATTTCGTCATAAAGTTTGTATCTAATTAAATTAAATTAGTACTCCATCATAAGGCGGACATGAAATCCTGATAATCACATTATGCAATGAAATACTAAAAATCCTTTGGCCATCGTCTATGAAGTGTCAAAGAACTCTTTGTGCCTCAATGCCACAGCTAGCTTTTTACATGCAGCTATGTGATTGTAACATAGTCGCAATTGGCCATTTGTAACCATTCCAAAAAGACTGTTCCGACAATTGGACAAACAATATCATCAAGCCATCAGGATTTTAGATTTTAGTACAGTGGTCCCCCTTCAGCATGAGTAATGTTCCTGTTTTCTAGCTCTTTGACCTAACCGGCTGATCAGGACCTTTCACCTGCTGTGGTCTCTTCTCAAATTGAGTAGTTTACTAGGGAAAATAGACATCTGCAGGGCGTGAACCAAGCCTTTACTGTCCTTGAAAGCAAAGTTTCACATGCAAAGCCACAGACATTATCTGATAAAATCAATCAAACTCTAAAAGGGTCAAACATACTCCTGTTCAAAAACTGTAAAGCCCAATATTTCTACATGTAACTTGGCGACCAATTCGCTTAGTGAATTGTGAAATTAACTTTTGACTTTTGGTGTCAGCTTGAGTTATATTAAACAAATTTAATTGGCAGAAACAACAAACAAGGCGTGGCCCTATGGATAAGAACCGAGGATCTTAACCAATCCTTGTTAGAAATCAAAAGCCCACTCAAGGATTAAAGTAAAGTCAACAATTTGATAATTACAAATGTGAAAGTGAATTAGTTTAACTCAGCAGTTTTGCTGGGTTATTGTACCCATTCCCTGCTATAATCCAATGTCACGAGAGAGAATGTAAGATTGTGAGGTGGAAAATTTTGAGCCCATCATCATGATGAAACAAAACAGAAGAAAGAGTTAGTTGGCAGAGTAGAGGAATTGGTTTGAGCCTAACATTACAAAAAGAAGTGTAAAGAAAAGGGACAAAATACCTAGAAGAAAAACGGAAGACAAAAAGAAAAGCGGAGGCGGAAGTAGGCCATGATGTTTTAGTCCAAACCCATGTGAATTCTAATCCTATACGCCATTTCCATGTTTAAAAACAAGCTGTAAAAGAACATAATTAAAGACAACAATGCGGTGTGCATATCAGCGATTCATATATATATATATATATATAATGGTGGGAAAGCAAGATGTTTGTATAATAATATTCTCCTTCATCCAAAAAATGAAAAGAATTCTCAATAATTTTCTCCGCATGAGAGAAAGATCAGTCAGGTCTTTCAGTGGATATCCACTTAATTAATTGCTAGTAAGCATATAACTAGGATTCCCACCAAAGCATTAATTTTAGATTTAAGGTCATATAATTAGGGAAAGACTTAGACGAAGTATTTTAGTAAAGTTTGCGAAATTTTTTTGTTAAAATCGAAAATTTAAACCAATAAATTAAAAGAGCTCACTGTGAGGAAAATAGGCTGAGGAGTTAGGATCGAGACACACAGTTTAAGATTTCTATCTGATTTTTTTGCATTCTGAGAAAAAACAGGCAATCCACTCCACCTTTCTCTGGCCCTTTATTTACCAGGGTGGCTCATCAGTGGATGTTTACTAGCAACTTAGACCATGAATATTGAGTCATAATCATAAGCCATAAAAGTAGTGAAATGATGAGATAGGTTAGAAAGAGAAGATCTTGAGAGATATATCTACTATCTCTGAAGAAAAAAACTGTAATTCATATAATGGCATTTAGTGTATCTACATTTTTACACTCATCATTAGTATGTATTCAACATACCATCAAACAAAAGTGACAATCATTTTAATATCTTAACTAGAAACCAAGGTGGGGAAAAAGAGAAAAGAAAATTAACCCAAAAAATGAAAATTCTGAACAAAATCATGCTATATTATTATTAGAAAGCCTAAACAGATGAAGAAAATTTTAGGCCTGCAGGGACACAAGAAGTTATTCTGAAAGCAGATTGTAGGGTTTTGGAAACGTCGGTTGCGGATGGGCGAGCAGTGGGGTCACCGGCCGTGCAATGGAGAGCTAGATTCATGGTCGCAACGATCTGGTTCTCGTTGTTGTTGGATGCATGGCCCCTGATCATGGGATCAACCCACATATCAAGATGGCAATCTGAGTAGCAATAGCGGGCCCACTCCACCATGCTCTTGCGCTGCACTCGAAATTCAGCATCCGCAGGACTTTTTCCCGTCAACAATTCAATCAGAATGAGGCCGAATCCATAGATATCACTCTTTTCTGTCATATCCTTGCTTTCTCTAGCTTCTGCCAACAGAAGGAAACATAGAAAAACTACAGATTAGCAAAATGTGCACGTGCATGGATTTGTAGAATAATAGCACTATAGTAGTGGTAGAAATATTATTCCGGGCCAAGCTATATTGCTATATATGTGCTACCACCATCGAAAAGGTCTTTTAAAACCGTAATGTTTGCAACAAAAAAAATTACCAAACTAATTCAAATAATTTTTTACAGTAAAAATTACTTTCAACGGCCATGCTAAATGCTTTAAAAACGCTTTAAAGTTATCGTTTGAAGCATCTGAGAGGCAGACATAATAATATTTGCCAAGAAAAAATTTTCATATGCGACAGAATTGAATAATTAAGCTGATGCACTATTGCTTTTCACAGTTAACAGGGAAATTTCCAATTTCAAAAGGGTACTATATATTATTCATGTACCTGGGGAAACGTACGATGAAGAAATGAAGCGCTTGTTTTCTATGCAAACCAGCCCAGGAAGGGTCCATCGTAGCCGAGGCTCGTCTTTTCCATCGATGATAACTCTCTCTGGTGACATGTCTCCGACGAGTATGCTTGGCGAACAATAAGAATGCAAAAACCGTAGAGCTTTTGCAATCCCAGTTGCAATTTTTCGCCGCCTTTCCCAGCTTACGTTGTGAAGGATTTCACTTAGACTTTTCCCTTCTATGTACTCGTAAACCGAATATGCGCCATTATCTGACCGACATATTCCAATTAATTTAACAATATTTGGGTGCTGAAGCTTGCCAAAATGTGTGATTTCAGACCAAAAACTTGATGGAATTGAGCTGACTTCGTTCATTTCTTTCACGACGAATTGCAAATCATTTACAACTGATTTGCCTTTGAATGACTTGCCTTCCCTGCCTCTGGAAATAACATTTGCTTCTTTGACAGATAGAATAATATCATCAATTGTTACTGACTTCGAAACCTTGGAATCAAAGAATTGCAATTCCCATATTCCATCTTCATTTTCCACTCTTTTCAGCTCCAAATTGTTTCTTCCTCGAATGAATATGAAGCCAAAAGCAGCAACAGAAAACAACACTAAAGCAGCGAGAGTCAGAGAGCAAGCAACAAAAAACCACCAAGCCGGATTCTTGACCTTTCTGCATGGCGGTAAACCGCTTTTATCATCTCCTCCGCAAAGATCATTACCAGCAATTGCACTTGCATTTATAGCAAGAAAGGCCCCTGTAGATGGTAACTTGCCATGTAAATGGTTGTAAGAAATATTCACTTGAACTAGCGGTTCCAGTTTCCCCAACTTTGGTGGTACTTCACCAGATAATTGATTCTGCGACAAATCAAGCTGACCAAGAACTGGCATTTCAGCGAAACCAGATGGAATTTGGCCACTGAGTTGGTTATGGCTTAAGTCTAGACTCACAAGCTTCTTGCATGAAGATAATTCCTCGGGGATTTCACCGGTCAGCTTGTTTCCACATAGGCTTAATTGCATTAGCTCTGATAAGCTCCCAAAACTACGTGGAATATTACCTGAAAATTCGTTTCCTGACAAGTCCAAGTCCTCAATCTTCTCGCTACCAAATGAGTGAGGCAACTTCCCTGAAAATCTGTTTCCTGCCAAACTCAACATTTCAAGTGACGGCATGTTCCATGTTTGCTCTCCGATGTTGCCCCAGAGATTGTTGTTTGAGAGATCCAAGAAGTATACGAGAGGCAGTTTTGTGAACTCAGAGGATAATTGGCCTGACAGACGATTGCTTTGAAGCCTTACTCGCTGCAAACTTTTGCAAGTGCTCAAATTCTTTGGAATCAAACCTTCAAGTGAATTTGAGAAGAGAATGAGCTTAAAAAGACGACCCGAGCTGCAAAGTCCGTCGGGTATACGTCCCGTGAGATTATTAGTGGAGAGGTCGAGAATAGTGAGATTATTATGTCTTCCAAGACTTTTCGGAATCTCACCTGACAATCTGTTGGACCAAAGCTGAAGGACTTGAAGACGAGGCAAAGAAGTTAAAGCACTTGGAATTTTACCCGTAAAGCTGTTGCCGAAAAGATGAAGAATCTCCAGGTTTTGCAACTGAATTATGAGTTCTGGGATCTCACCAGATAATGAATTATCACTAAGATCAAGAGAAACCAGCTTTTTGAGTCCAAAAATGGACTCTGAAATTGAACCTGTAAGCTTATTTTGGTAAAGGAAGAGATACTGAAGATCGCCGAGGTTTCCGAGGGAGGACGGGATTTGACCAGTGAGGTTGTTGTAGACAAGATCAAGATGATTCAAGGAAGTTAACATACCAATTTCTTTCGGAATTTCCCCGGAAAGATTGTTATAGCCCAAGTATATCCACTTCAAGCTCTTCATTTTGCCTAATTCATGTGGAATTGGCCCAACTAATTGGTTTGAAGCCAAAGTCAAGAACTGCAAAGTAGTGATGTTTGATATCGAGATTGGAATTTTCCCCACCAAAACATTTCCACCGAGATCAAGGAATTTTAGACTATAAAACGATCCGATTTCTTGTGGAATTTTCCCGGAAAGCATATTGTTTGAAAGATCCAATACCTCAAGGCGGGAAATGGAACCACTTGGTATTTGACCGGTGAAATTGTTGTTACTAAGGTTGAGAAATCGAAGTGAAGAGGAAGAAAATATATCCTGAGGAATTTCACCGTAGAGCTGATTGCTGGAGAGATTTAAAGTTTCAATAAAAGGCAAATGGAAAATTGATGAGGAAACTAATTTCCCGGATAAGTTTTTAGCAGAAAGATCAACTGTTTCAACATGAGACAAATTATTGCAAGTGATACCTTGCCACTGGCAAACAGTGGCAGAGGAATCCCAGTTGGACACGAAACCAGAAGGGTCGTGGATTGAAGACTTGAAAGACAAAAGAAGCTCAAGTTCTTTACCATGATCAGATTCAGACACGCCAAAATTGAAGAAAATGAACATGAACATGAACTTGAACAACACTACTGAATTTGCTTTAGCTCCTTCCTCGGCCATCTCTACTTGGTGATATGTTATGATTCTATTGCAACATCCAAGAAAGATTTCAGAGTCCCGACTGATATGCCTCCACCAAAGATGATCTTTGATATAATCCCACGGATTCCAAGTCGTTTGAAAAGGCAAAAAATTAAAGAAAGAATTAAAATAACATCCGATTATTCATCTTTTGTGGTAGAAAATTGAAAGGAATAAGAAAACCAAAGAATAACTTACAATATGTGCATGAATCTATACTCAAATAAGGCACTCTAGATCCTGCACCAAATTACACCAAGCAAAAAGAAGTGAGATACATGTAATAAAGGAAGAATACTTGAATCATCATAATCCATTATGAAGAATCATTTTAACAGTTTCAAATGATATAATTGTTAGTAATTAATAAAGAACATGCATCACATGAACACTTTTTTGCTAAGGAAAAATTTAAATCCAAAAAAGCAATAAAAAGATTGGTGAAACGTCCAGTAACGTACCTAAATTTAATCATTAGATTACAGTAAAATTTCAAATATTAATGGGATTTTGTCACAAGAGTGAATTTTTTAAAAAAATTTGGATTAAAAAAAGAAATTAGGAAGAGAAAGGAGGGTTTTTTTTTTTTTTTTTGCAACTATTGAAGTGAGGGTGGTAGGGTGAGAGAGAGTGAGAGATTTTGAGTGTATAAATAGATGGCAGTTGGAAGGGAAAGGGAAGTGGGCATTGAGTTAGGAGTTAATTACTAGATTGCAACTTGACTTGCCTTTGAATGATGTTTGAAACACAAACTGTAGAAAGGGAAAACAGGGACAGATGTTGGAAAAGCCTCTGATTTTGTCGGATATTACCAAAATGCTGTTTTGACTGAATTGGGATAGGGACAAGGATTTCTGTAACCGTTGAAAAGCTTTGATCAAAATTATTTACTAGAATGTGACTGACACATGCTTTTGTTTCCTTTTTTTTCTAGAGAAACTTCATTGTTTAGTTACATTATATTCAGATTTAACAATAGCAATTGGAGTAAACATTATCATGCAGTGTAAAAATGATGTTTAGTGACAGTAAAACCACATTTTTAGTCACGTTAAGTGGGTAATTATTGGCCATAATCCATCTTTTCTAGGTCAAACTAACTTTAGAAAGAAATACGTCGGGCAGCAAATATGTTGGTCAAAGACCAAGAGGAATGATCAAACTTGTGGTAGAAGGGCCAATGCTACATAACAAGTGTTAGTAGCTATTTATGGCAATCTAGCTGGTTTTGGAGGTCACTAATAATTAGAGGAAAATTGCATGACTCAGCTTTGACTACCAAAATTAACGTGGCAATATTGAAAATTATTCCTGGTGGGATTGATATTGGAATGAAGTGTCCACTAACGTAATTAATTAGTATTAACAAGTTTTTTTAATAAATAATTATACGAAAGTGTTGAAAAAACGAATACAGGGTTTAGTTCAAGTGTTATCAAGTAGACTTCAAAAATGAAAGTTAACAACTTAACATGTTATTTTTTGGTCGAGACAGGTAAGATTTAATCAGGAATGTATAAAAGAGAGCATTAACGTTTCCCTATCATCATCTTGGGTTGGGAATTCTCTAATCATTAAAGCATTCGACCGATGTGTTTTCATAGGTGATTTATAAGACTTTGTCAGAAGAAATTATGACAAATTATTAATTCAGATATATAATTATTCTGTTCTTTCACTCACTTTTGTCCTCGAACCCCCCAAAAAAAACAAGAAAATCGTGAAGAAATAAATGGGTTCTGATTGATATTCTAGGGCATAAAGTGAGCTGGGCAATGAGGCTCAGCTCACTGGCGTACGTAAAAGCAGAGTTCTTCTTCAAACCCTTTTGTTTGGACTCTTTATATAATTATCATCTTGGATTCTCCCCCTCAGGAAAAGAAACAAAGAAAGAGAAAGACATAGCACTTTTAGATAGAGATCAGTACAAGCAAATAGAAAGGAAAGGAGTTAAAGTGAGGCAAAGAGGAATATATTAAAACGATTTGATGAAGAAAAAAGAAGAGAGGAATTAAGCTATAGGCAGATAGATATATTTAGATAAAGAAGAGAAGAGGTATGAAAAAGAATAATAGGAAAGCAACGGAATGAAAAGAAAAAGTCTGGTGTCTTTACTGTGTAAATGCTCGTGCTCTCTATATCTCTCTCGCTGGCTGTGGGCCTTTAAGACAGACCCACCAGCACTTTCTCGAAGGAATATACAGTGTATAGTCTTTGTCACACCCGGCATGCATGCTTTCTTTCATATCCAGTTTCTAGGGTTTTACAACAACTATCCTCCTTTCTCTCCTTATTACCCAGTCAATTAGCTTTGCCCCTGGCCCTGGCCGTCCTCCAACTCGCCCATCCCCCCACGCCCACAACCCATTTCTCCGCTCCTAAATTAAACCCCTAGCCTTTTTCCTATAATATAATTGACGCATGCTTGTGTATTTTATTATAGTCCAATATAGTCGTTGCCAACCTTAGGGATTGCATTTTTTGCACATATATTTGAATTTTATATTGAGATTTGTATTCAATTTGTGAAGTATTATTTTTTTATCTAAAAATTTTATGATTTTATCTCACAAAAGTCGTCTTGTAAATTTGGATTTAGATTTACATATATATATATATCATAATAAAATTTTAGATTATCTTAATATGAAATTGAAACGTCATAAACTTCACCTCTTAAAATTTCAGAATCAGGATCACAAAAATATTAAGATTCTAAAATTAATTCATATCACGTAGCACTTAATTTTCATTTGAGTGATAATCACTTTGATATCATTTATAAAGATTCACACTCAAATTACAAGACATTATCTACTTTAACTTAAAAATCTTATGATTTTATTTTATAAAAAAATCTCTCAAATTTGAGTTTGAATTTATATATATATATACATATATATACATATATTATAGCAGAATTTCATATTCTAATGTGGGATTGGGACTACACATTTTACTTATAAAATATATATGTTGTTCAAATATAAAGACTATGGATATCATATTAATTTATTTTATTAATTATAATTAGTTGTTCCACTATACTTTTGTTGAAAATGGGATAGAATAGAAGAATCTACATATATGTTACATATCTAAGAGAGGAGAGCATATACATATTTACTTATTAAAATATATATTTACTATATTTTTATATATGTTAGTGTGATGAATCCCACTGCATGAATAGGAATTGAGGGGCACGAGGAATCCATGATCCTAATTTTTATTAGCCTTAAATGTGTGAATTAATGAATATAAATACAAGGGCAAACGGCTTGTTGTGGCCATAAATTGGGGCAGGAATTGCGTTGATTAATAAGGAAAAGGAGGGCAAAAGCTATTCCTGTTATTTCTTGCAAAAAGTGAAAAAAAAAAAAACAATTAGCTTTGGTTATAAATTTTTGGTAAAACAATAAAAAAACATATAACAAAAAATAAATTAATAAGTATATATATTTTTTATTCTTTAAATATAATTAAAAACCATTTTTTAAATGGTTAATTGCTGAAGATTTAGTTTTTTTTAATTGCTTTTTTCTATTTTATAGTTTTAGATTACATATTTAACATTTTATTTTTTAATATTTGTTAAAATAGTAAAATTATTTATGATTTCACTCACACAATGAGTGTGCCAAGAATTAATTTTTGTTTTCCCTGCTAGTGGAGCTTCGCTCAACCACTGCTCATATAGGATATCTAGAAACTAACCAACTCTCTTACATATTATAAAAACAGATTACTTTTCATGATTGGTGGTATTTCAATATAATTAGAAGGTGGCCTGATCAAATGTCAATATTCCCTTTGTAAGATAACATTATAAAGTTGAATTATGCTAGTATATATGCACTAAAGGGCATTAAAAACCATATAAATCCAAAACTAGGTTTAGTGCTTTCATTTGTATTTATACTAATTAAATCTCATTACTTTTGATCTAACATATATAATTATTTTTCTTAAACCAATTGATCTAACGAAGCATGCATGATGTGGAGCCGACCCATATCCCTTGAATAAGGGTCGTCCCGATCGTCTCTTGAAGTTTTTTTTGTAGGGCTTTGTGTTCTTAGTTGGTGGTCCAGAGTGTGATCAATAACTTTGAAACTTTAATATTTTTTTTGTGCATTGAAGCTTTAATGTTACTTTGTTTAAAATGAGGACTAATATGCTTGAGCTTGGATATCCACTTTCTTTTCACAAAGAATAAATTTTCAATGCATTGAGATCAACAAATGTCGGGCGTAAGGGTCCACTGAGATTATAACGTCGGATTATTAGGTTAGTGAGCCAAATTGAGGGTCACATGGCAGCTGAAATAAACCAGTGTTCTGTACCAAATGTTCTTCAAATTTGCCCTTCATCCAGAAAAGGAAAAAGGTACTGAAATTATAGCCTTTTCCTTTTGCTTTGCACATGAAACCCATCAAGGAAACCTTTCTCATTTGGTGATTTAATTTGAAGTAGCTTGGAATGAGAAAGAAGCTAGCTAGCTAGCTAGCTAGCATTTCACCTAGAAAATAAATGCATGCTTGCACGATTCATATTGTTTGTTTGGGTCTTTGCTTTATTGAATGCTCCTATTTTATTTTGAAAAGTTTAGATGAAAGAAAGTTATCTCATTTTAGAATTAATGTATATCACAAATTTTAACAAAATTTATATTGAATTTACAAATAACCGATAAAAAACCCGTTAACATAGTAAAAATTAAATTTAAATCTTACTATCAAAATATTTAATTTTTACTGATTCAACTTACTCATTGTTACTATTACTATTTCATTTTGTAGCTCATAGTTTTGAGAGTTTAAAGAACGTTAATTAAATGCATTAATTTTTTTTTTTGGATTGAATTGAAGGAATCTCTTTCTGATCACTATGAATGTATTTATCTATCTATCTATATATATATATATATATATATTATACTTTGCAGTACAAGAATATGAAGTTCTCAAGTCTTTTGCGATTCTTCTATATTCTAAGCGCTAATCATGTCACATTCCCCAATACCACATTAATAATGTTGAACCGACCATCCTTTTAGTTGTCTGCTCAATGATTTTAGTTTTAGCGACAGTTTTCTATATTAATTTTATGGTTTATTATTTTCTCTTGATACAACAAGTTCAAGTTTGGTTTAAAGACAATTAACCTCTCTTACAAGAGCTTTTCTCTAAGGAAAAACCTGATTATTGGGAAGCTTAATTTCCTCCTTGAGTCTTAGGCGCCTAATGTCGTTTTCATGGTGGACACACTCGATTTGAATGAATATTTAGACGAATGGTCCAATGAAATGACTAAAAATTTCAACTATTCTTAGAAAGGATGGTCCATCATTCATGGCTTTTAACCCTAAAGTTGTGTCTATCGCACGTGCGCTATTCACATTTTATGTGAGATTTTGCACCAACTATGGCTTACTTTGCTTAATTTTGCACTTTGGGATTTGAGAATTGGGGGCCATCAAGAAATTAACATGCTCAGTGATGGATTTAAATTTTTTTTTTTTATTATTCACTTACATTATGTATAAACGTTGTCGATGAATTTATCAATGCAAAGGATATTCAGAAGAATATTTTAAGGTTGTCCAAAAGAAAATTTTCTTTAAAAATTTTTTGTTTTCTAATATTTTAGTATAAAAAAATTTTTGGGCGAAATTATGAACATGAACCCTTATTTTTAGATTGAGTTCCACGGTCCACCTTAATACTACCTACTAAGAAAAGCGTTTGGATGGGACATGACTTTAGAATATGTCTAGCCCAATATGGAAGCCATTACCCTTCTGTTCAAACCCGAAGTTAGCCATAATGTTAGACCCATATATGTTCTGTCATGCTCATGACTCCTAAGTTTCTTGGTGATGGCAACTTCCAACGTCCAAGTGCAGCTGAAGACAATTAACAGCTGCTCCATTAATATGCTTCAAACCTGCATACTTTGAGATCCATTCAGGATGACCCCAAGCTTTCCAGTCTTTCAAGGAAGGAATGGAACAGGCGTGAGTCGTGACTGGTTTCTCCCAAAGACAAAAAATGAAGCTGTTTATTGTGTACTGTATATATATATTTAATAGCTAGTACAAACAACAAGAGAAATCCCCAATTATGTACCCTATCAATTTGTCAACCCAAGGCCTCAAAAGCATCAAAATGAAGTAAACCAATTAGTGTTTAAAATTGATCTTTGGGACACAGTGCTTCGAGCAATCTTTGGTGGGCTGATGAAAAGTTCTTGGAACTTCGGTTCTCGTGGCTTCTTTTAGCTATATCCCTCATTTTGGGAGGCAATGAGAGTTTGGGTCTGAGTAGCTTAGTGCTGTTGAATTTCTGGCAACAATTCCCTGTGCAAGCTCACTGCCTCTTGCATGCATGGCTGCAGTCTTGGGAGCTTGATGTGACCTTTCTTTTACAGCCTCGGAGCAAAGGCCACACACCCATTTGCCACAATGGCAACCCTTCACTCTTGTGATGTAATCAATGGTGCAATCCTCTTTCAGTTCACAGCTTTCACATTCTGCTTGCTTAACTTGATCATGATCAACTGTATAAGATTCTAACGCTATATACGTTTAGATTTCCTTAGAAACACCAGACACCACCTTCCGTACGTAAAAATCTTTGCTCATTATTCAATAGAAAAACACAAAAATAGGAATTTGAATCAACGTAAAACGTATAGGAAATAAAAGAAAGCAATTAATATTAACGTTTAATCAGCCTAATAATGGTCGATTCATAGAGTTCCTGAAAACTGACCCTAATATGACGGGCTTCATATTTTTAAGTGGGCTAGCCTGTACTCTTGCTATGTCTCTTTGTGACCCAAGTCAGTCCTAGGAGAATAAAAACTGAGCCCATTTGGAGCAAAAAGCTTTGGGCCACTTGAGTTCGGCAAGACTGCCCAACATGAAAGGTCAAGTATCTTCCTACTGATTTCTCTTTATTTTTTTCATTCATCCTCTTTTATTTTGTTTCCTTCCCCTTCTTCTTTCCCCTGCCAAGCATTTCAATCCCATTTTAGTAACTAGTAGGCACAGCCTAAAGTCATCATCTTTTTCTTTGTTTAGGACCAGAGGTTACATAAAATGTAAATGCAATTTATCAAGCTGCCATACATTACAACAATAGGATAGGCTCTATGGCTATGGTTTTGCGTCTTTACTTGATTCAGATTTTTTTTTAATTTCATGATTAAAAAAAAGTGTCCCCGTCTGACAATTACATGCACCATCGCTCTCTTGGTAAATGACCAATGCAATTTCTTGCAGAATGTGTATGGCCAAGAGTTTGCAGAAGCCAATCTACTCTCTGCTTCTTTCTCTCTCTGTCTTTCTTTTTTTTTTCAAAGGTTCGTTCCTAACCTTTGAAATTTAGTTGGAATTTTTTGGGTGGGATGGCAACTTGATTTTGGACCATATCCATTCATTCTTTCGATAAAGAGAGAATAAGTGGAATTAACATTTGAACAATTTAAAGCTTAAAACTGATATTTATTGGTGATATATGGTGCATTCAAAATCACCAATTGCTAGCTACATGTTGTTGGAATATGAATGATTGGTCGATCAAACCAACAGTGCTTGTCGATCGTGTCATGAAAAGTCTTTTTAACTCTTTCGTCTTACTTCATGGTTTATCAGTCTGAACATGCAGACTCTTCCAACTTGATCACTCTACTCCGAACTTGTCAGGACCCTCCTCCGAACGACTAATTTATACATTTATTATATGAACTACATGAATTACAGAGCTTCATCAAACCAGATACAGCGACCCATACCGTTGAAAATCCAACACAATCAATTCTGCTGACAGTACCCACTGGAAACAAACAATCTGACAGTCGGTTTCCAATTTTACTAGCTATACTAATCCCTTTTGGCAACGGCCACCCTAACAAACTGCAAAAGGCAGTAAGTTTCGACTTTTGAGTGCAATACTTCACCAACTTTTTTGTTGTCTTGAATAAAGATGTTAGGAGTTGCGAAACCATTCTCAGCCCCAAAAGCATCGTCTGGTCATCGCATCACTTATCATATGATACATGTTTATGCATGTTACCTAAATCAATAATACAATTATAGGAAACACTATAATTGTCACGTCCCTGGTAGAGGGAGGCCGTTTGAAATCCCAAGGCTCACTTACCATGAGAAATCGCCGTATTGTTTACGTGGTGTGTTGTGGTGACAGAAACAAAATGTCATTTTCATGTCCCTGGTAAAGTCCGCTTCTTTGATCAGCTTAGCTATAAAAAGAAAGAAAAAGAAAACGATTTTCAATGTCTTCTATGAACATTGCGTCCATGGAATACACGTGGACGAATCTCAGGGACGATGATAATGCCAATTTTGTGGCTAGAAATAGACGACGTGGGGTGGGATTATGATACGATTTCATCGATGCTTCCTTGATTCTCAGCTCCACAAGATATTAGCCGCTTACCGCGGCCGGCCGGCTGGCTGGCTGGCGGCCTTTCGTTGTCCAAGTCAAAGTGATAGTTTTTTATTAATTTTTAAAAGATGGTTACATATTCGGTGAATCCACCCAGCGATTATTAGGATTTGAATCACGATATTTATTTATTAGGACTTCAATCAAATAATGATGGGATGAAAGTGTAAATTGACACAGTTACGTAAGTGATTACAATTTTATTAAAAAAAATTTTAAGCCGGGTTGCTAACCAGTAACCAACCGTTAAAATTCGACGATTTGAAGCCGTGATGTCCGGCTGGCTGCGCGGAGAGTATCTTTCACAAACAGTTTGCGCGTTGCGTAATCTCCACTCCCAGTTCAAATCGCCCTTTTTCAATTGATTATTAAACGAGATTTTATCACACTCTCCAACACCCAAAATTAAATGCACGCGCCAATCCTCACTCCATCGTTACCCTCCATCTTGCTTGCTAAATCGATGTGATATCCTCGGTTCAAAGCACGCAAATCCACGTCACCCCGACAGCAGTTAATTGCGTTTCCCTTTTTTCAAGTTTCCTTGTCCGAAATTCCCCTGCGTGCTATAAATACCCCGACCGATTCTTAATTCTCCCTTGTTACCTGTAATCGTTTTTCTTTCTTTCAACTCCATTTAATATTTTATAGATTATAATTTACATTTTTTTTGTATTTTGGAAATTTTAATTTCGTTTTGTTACATATTTTTACCATCTCTGTCATGTCAACGGCCGTGGAGATGGAGCAATTGACGTCGGGAGCGAGCAATCGGATAATCCCGATCCTAAAAACCCTAAGGATTCCTCTTATTGTCATTCAATCAATGATCTTGTACCTCCTCCTCCTGCTCTTCCCTCGGCGCCGCCACTCTCAGACGGTGGTCGCGGCGGTTGACGCTGCTGCTTCGGCTCCGCAATCGCCTGCTAAAACCGCGAGGCGGAGGTCGGTATGGAGGCGAGAAGAGGAGGACACCTTGAGAAGGAGAGCTTTGGCGGAGGGTTTGGACATGGGTTTTGAAAACGGGGACGGAGAGATTCGGTGCTGTTGGAGCACGTCTATTTTCTTTGGGGTTCGCAGAAATGCCTTGTTTTGCCGGTCTTGGTTTCCAGCAACCGGTGAATTGAGGTAAGACATTAATTTTCTTTATCGACGTTACTTTCTCTTGTGGAGTCGAGGGAAAGAAATGAAATCAAATTTAAGACAAAGCGTTTTTTTTTTGTTTTAATTTCTCTGTTTAAAGATGAACTAAAGTTGGTAACTTTTGAATCGCCTATGACTTGAAAGAACTAAAACCATTGCCAAAGCTTTCCTTCCCCGGTATCAAATCCCATGCCATGTTGTGTTTTTGCTTTACTCTTTTGTCTCCTAAGTGTGGTTTGTTTGTGATTTTAGGGGCATTTTGATCATCATGCACGGGCTGAATGAGCACAGGTAGCATTAATTTGTTAATGCCCCCATAAACATCTTAGTTTTTTTCCCAGTGGAAAAGAATCTCATTTTTCATACTCTGTTTTCGGTTTTTCATTTACAGTGGAAGATATTCTCAATTTGCAAAGCAACTAACTTCTTCCAACTTTGGTGTATATGCAATGGACTGGATAGGTACATAATTTGACACTAGTTTTTCTTCTTTTCTTTTCCTTTGGCAAAGTTGTATTGAAAATTATTAGTTTTGAGTTGTGGTAATGAGATAAGGTTTCTTGCTATAGGTCATGGTGGCAGTGATGGATTGCATGGATATGTTCCTTCACTTGATCATGTTGTTGCGGACACTGTAAGTTCTCTTTGAGTTCTCTGTATCTTTTTAATGTGCACTTCAGAGTTCAGATTAACCTGCACCTATTACTTTGTCTTTTATAACATTTAAATGGATAACCCGCTTGCTCATGTAATAATAAAACATAAATCATAAACAATTCAAAGGTTAGTGACTATCATGGCTGCTGGTTGGTAATAAACAACTAAAACTTTAACTTGGCAGCCTTTGGCTTTATTCAAAATATGCCTGCAAGGTGGTGCTAAGCTTTGTATGTTCTCTTTCTTTAGGGGGCTTTCTTGGAAAAGATCAAATCAGAGAACCCAGGTGTACCTTGCTTTCTTTTTGGTCACTCTACTGGTGGAGCTGTGGTTTTAAAGGTATCACATCTACTGATTAGTTTAAACAACATAATTATAAGTACTACTTAACAATTAATAAGTTGCAAATAATCAGGCAGCTTCACATCCTCGTATTGGGGAAATGCTGGAGGGAATTGTGCTGACATCTCCAGCTTTGCGTGTTAAGCCAGCACATCCAATTGTCGGGGTGAGTTGCTTTTTCTTGTTCTTGGTTTGTAATGCGCTAAATCATGCTGTATTTGCCTTTGAGGTTTTTCTTTGAAGTGAAGGATTAAAGCTAAAAGTGCCTTAAAACCAAACCAGTCACCCATCAATGGTTTAATAAAGTTCCAATGAAAATCTTTAATAGTACATTCATTTATACAAAAACCAGGGTCTCCTTTTTTAAAATGCCAAAGGTCTACCAAAATATTCTGTTAAGCAAAAGATATCTGCAAAGAAATTTTGGGGAGGTGTTAAATCCTTCTAAATTTAGCTGGTGTGGTTTTAGCTTGAATAGATGTTTCCATGATTTGTCCTCTATAATGCTATCTAACTATTATGGCTGAGATCATGAGATATGTGAGTTGCTTTGGTGTTGTGTAACCCTTTTGCTATTGGGTAACGCAAGTATATAGTCATAATAAGGTTGGTTGTGCCTTAATTCAGTTTCTAGCTTAACCTCCCCGCATCCCATCAAGTTGGTATTTTAATACTGATTGAAGCAGATATGACAAATTGTATTGTTTTTCCCTATGTTTAATTTTTTTAAATGTTCATATGCAGGCTATTGCTCCTCTTTTTTCTTTGGTGGCTCCAAAGTTACAGTTTAAAGGTGCCAACAAGAAGGGCATCCCAGTTTCAAGGGACCCCGCAGCACTGTTGGCCAAGTACTCTGATCCTTTGGTCTATACTGGTCCAATAAGGGTTCGAACAGGGCATGAGATATTGCGCATTTCATCTTACTTGATGCAAAACTTAAAGTCTGTGACAGTCCCATTCTTTGTTCTCCATGGAACTGCAGATAAAGTCACTGATCCACTCGCCTCCCAGGATTTGTACAATGAGGCAGCCTCCAAGTTCAAAGACATAAAGCTCTATGACGGCTTCTTGCACGACCTCCTCTTTGAGCCTGAGTGTGAAGAGATAGGACAGGATATAATTGACTGGATGGAGAAGAGATTAGTCACCAGAGCTGAAAACATTAATTGTCTCTGGTAAACGATGGATCTTGCAGAATAGACTAAAGTGTTTTTATTTTACCTAAAGTTAGAACACCGGCTTGAATCACAGGTAGATGTTTTAGAAAGTTAAAAGTTCATCCACACGTACGGTTGGGGCTCTGGTTTATAGTGAAATTTGTAACCATATATGGATATCAAGTATATACATATTGGAAAATTCAGCTTTTAGTCAAAAGGAGTCAAGACAGAACTCTAGTTTCTGATTATGTTATGAAAACCTTTTTGACGTGAACTGAATCTTAGAAGTGGCAAAGCTGCAGGAATTGGCAACAAGCTTGTAATATTCTTGCATGAGCTGGTTAGGCACTTGGGGGCATTTAGATCCCTTCAAATCTACTCGGTTTTTGTGATTATCAGACGAATGCATATTTATGAAGCAAATTGTGATTCAGAAACACTGAATAAAACTGTATTAAGTGAATAAATAATACATCTTGGGCAAATATATTTCCCAATGGCTCCGGCATACCGTCAAGATGGTTGCAGATTTACATATATGTGATTTCTCTTGTTCAGAAGACCACAATAAATCAACCCACCCAGATAAAAATTTAAAATTCTGGTTGCAAGATTGGCAAAGATTCAGAAGCATTGTGCAGACTATCTGTTTTGTTGGCCTTGAATACGACAGAGTCTCCTCAAGTGAACTCTCTCCTAGTAAAAGGGAAAAAAAAAGCAGAAAGATTAGTATTGGCGGTTTCAGAGGAAATAGTTTCCTTGTATTCGAAATGGAGCTATTGATTGAAAAGAGTAAACAGCGAGATACAACGCTTGCCTCATAGCTGTCATGATCATATCGGATCCAAAAAAGACACCTGCAACCTCTTATGTCATGCGTTTTCCTTTCAATCTCTATGACATGAGCATCATAGTAGATTGATTGGTCTCTTCTCTCCTAAGATGAAGGCAGAAAAGCAAATTAACAAAGAGTTGGGAGATTATTGAAGAAATTTCAGAACACTGAGTGCATCTATAGTCACCTGCAAGCATAATACAAGATCTCCAACTGTCACCTTATGACATTCAGAATGTTCAAATGGGATGGATCGCTCTCGCACTGCCTTTTTTACATTAACCCATTCATCCTCCTCAGCCCCAAATCCAATATATCTAACATGAACTTCCTTTAACCAACAATATATTTTATCAAATGACTTGGAAAATAAATACTTAGGATACACAACACTCTTTTAATAATTTTCTGCTGTTTCAACCTAAAATCACCCTAGTAGTGCTTACTGCCTAGATATCAATTTGACTCCATCATGCCACAAGATGTCTGGCAACAAGTATGAACACTTTAATTTTAGCTCAGGATGAGTGTCAGTCTAGACGTGAATGCAATAGTATGATTTAGATACTTACAGCTTCACCAGAACTGAGAAATCGGCGACTGAGAAACATATCAACATCATACCTGCACTTAGTCCAGCATAAGCAAATTTAGATTACAAGATTTCACATGACATAACAGAATAAATGCATATCAATTCAAGTAGTTTTTTTTTTTAATTTTTTTATATACGTAAAGTTTAAAGCCTAGAAGATTGATATTGAGTTAATTTAGATTCATGCACTTACCATGCTCCATCTTTTGATGACTTTGCCTCAAACTTTAGTTCTGATAGATCAGGGACACTTTCTCCCACGTTTGAAACCATTCCTAAGAGAGAGAGAGAAAAAGGGAAAAAAGAATTAGCAATGGGAAAACATGCTTTTTATGTCATGATTCAGTTCTGTAACGAAGGTTCCAATTTCATTTTTATGTCATGGTTTCTAGATCACAAACCAAGGCAGACATAACCAAGAAACCCACGCAAGATTTCTGCACCAGTAGAATAGAAACAGAGAGTAAATATGAACACTAGCGAACTCATGTAATAAATTAGACACTCCTAGTCGATACTGGTAAAAAATTAGTTCACAAGTAAAACAAAATTAGAACTAGGTTGGTGAAGGCCACTCTACTTCTTCTGCACTGTTTCTCAAAGTACAACAAATATGCCATTTTGTGATTATGATACTTACAGAGGCAAGGCCAATTATAAATTTTGAGATTGTGTGAACAATTAGTTTATAACATTTTTTGAAGCCAATATATCCTCAATGCTTACAGAGCTTTCATATTTCCAAAATGGGTTAGCAAATTGAAGTAAAACAGTATTACAACAAACTGACATCTGAGGAATTTCTCAATTTTGAAAATTTCCTTTTGCAAATTCCCAAAAGTAGACACACCATTAAGAATCTGAGAACTTTGATGTCCATTGTTTAGAGGGCAAGTTTCAGGGATTCTGGACTGATTTTTGGATGTATCATTCAAGGAAGGAAATTTGAATGTGCTCTCTTGCTGCCTAGCTACAAACCAGCTTTGTACCTGAGAAACAGTTATGAAATTAGAGATCATAGGAGAGTTCCTAAACTGCAAAACAGAAACAAAATAGCCAAAATTTAAGGAAAATTGGAGAAATAGTAAGAAAAGTAATGCAGACAATGAAAGAAAGAGTCAGGTAAAGAAAGACCTCAGTCCATTAACTATAGGTTTGCCGGCACGGACTGAGGATGAACTGCAAAGATAACATGCATATAAGTCCAAGCTAATTCATTTGGTTAATCTAGAAGGAGGGAACAAGAGGGGGGGGGGGGGGAGAGAGAGAGAGAGAGAGAGAGAAACTACAAAGATATATGCAAAATGCAACTAACCTAAAATTTCTTGCGATTTTTTTACAAAATTCCTTACTTTGCATCAGCTTCCTTGATTCCAATAACAATTTCTCCATCTTCTCAATCTGTACATAAAGAGGTAACAAAGGGACAAATAATTTTTTGTGATCCCTTAGAATAATAGCTTTGCAGAAACCAAAACATGAGGCATCTTAACATTTAATATAGAAATTCAGTATAAGGAACGCATTCGTTGGCTTATATTATAGCAAAAGGTTACCAACAACATTCAAACATAGTGCACTTTAATACTACGTCAAACCAAGAAAGATCCTAACTTCAATACATATGCACCAAACATCATGCAACGAATCAAACTATAACATACACGAACCTAAACCAAGACAAGAGCTCTAACTTCACATGTTAATGAATACAAATAACATTAAACATGTATTCAAGCAAATCAGAAGCAGAAATAAAGGACAATACATTAAGAAATATAGGAAACTTTTTCCAAGTTGAGAACTATGAACAAATGTAAAAATTTCATACCACATTTGTTCTAGACCCCACAATTTGGAGCTCAATTTCACAAATATTCATTCATAAACAAAACTGCTACTGCTAATAGATCAGGAATACAACAACCTGATAAAATTTTTAAAAACAAAAACTATGAAAACTAAAAAAAAAAAAAGAAAAAAAGTAACAGCTAAACTACACACATATTAACAATCAAAGAACAGAAAAGAAAGAGTTTTTCACCTCAGCTGTTGTAAATCCAGAGAAGACCTGTCTTTGTCTCTGTCTTGGGCGTGGGCGTAGACGATCCATCAAACACCCCAAAAATTGATTTATTTTTGGAGGAAAAAATAGAAACTTTAAACCTGTCCCTCTATAAATTGGCGGGGGCTACTGGAAAAACAATTGGGTATTAAGGAAGCTCTAAATTTAAACAATTTGGAAAACCCTAAAGTCTTGAAGTTTCAGACACTGTACAGAGAATGCCAGTTTAAGCAGCATTGGAGTTTCGGATTCAATTTTTTTTTTTATTGCCTTGACTTTCTTTTGTTTTTGTTTTTGTTTTTCTTGCCCTTTTTGCTTGAGAAAGACTATATTGGACTTGGGCCGCTCTACAAACTATATCGGACTGCTGTGGAAGAAAGTAAAAGAAGTTGGTAATCATGTTTCAGACTCTGACATGGGAATTGGCCTTCGGCTACAGACAGTCCATGTAACGTCATATCTCCTATGAGCTTTTCTATCAGTACATTTTGCATTCAGAACTTGCCTAGACATTGATGAAATAATTTCATGTGAAAACAGGGAGAAGAAGCTTTCTTCTGAAAGCAAACAAATGAATTAATTTATGGTTTTGCTTCTTTTTTCATTCTATTATTAATTATTATTATTTTGTATGATTGTAACCTTTCAAGCAATTTTGAGAGTTTTGCTATTCAGATCTCAAGGGAACTAGTTAATTGGAATTTGGAAAGTGAATTGTATATTTTACAGCAACCTTTCTCACAATAAATGAAATGTGTCATCATTATGCACTTATAATTCAACAGGAGAAGAAAGTTTACAACACTAGCTCTTGCGGTCCCTTTTGCTTAACCTGTCATTTGAAAAGCAAAAGCCATGAAAGAACAAGGGATAGTTAGGTTTATAATGCTCGAATACTTCATTTATAAGGTCTAAGTCTAAGTTTCACCATCAAAGCTCCCTCTTAGCTATCTGTCAACAGACCCTCTTGGCTATCCGTAAATCCCATATAAATCTTTTCTAAAATCTACGATTTATGCTGACCTGAAATTGAGAAAATTTTCTCTTACCCTTTACTTTTTTATTAGAAAAAAGGAACACATACACAAAAACCACGTACGCTCTGTATTCAAGGACACTCCCAATGTAGTTGGTAAGGAATACACTTAGGTTCCCTTTGATACGAAGGAAAGAAAAACGAAGTTCTAGCTCGAATGATGCCTATCAACAATGTCTTTGACTGACTTTTGTGCTTTCCTTGTATCACTTGGCTGTTTCCTTGGCATGTTTCTTGTCTTTTCCGTTTTACTTGCTGGCGGTTAGATTCTTTTCCCTTGCCTTCGTATATGTTTTTATCCTTTGTCACGGTCACTTCTTCCTCTTTCAGGTATATATATATAATATATTCATGAAAGCAACCATGACACAAGACGAAATTTTCTTTTCTGTTATTTCCCTCGGCACATTTGAGTTGTATCAAAATTAAGACATGGCAACAGAAGAGTCGAACTCTCCGCAGAATATACCAACCTGGGTGATTGCTGCTGTCTGTTTTGTCATTGTTCTCATATCTCTTATTGCAAAACGAGGCCTTCGTCGCTATGGGAAGGTATCCAAAACAATCTTTGATCCTTCTCCTCAATGTTTTACCACGCGTGTTTAATTAATAACTCCGCAAAAATTTAGAGAGAAGTCTTTGTAGAATATACATAAGATATATGCCATCTGCAAAATTTTTCTAAAGTATGACTTTTTTTTTATACAAAATAAAATTAAAATTTTTGTCCTAAGATCTTCTTTTTGAACACCCATTTCTACACGTGTGCCGCAGCAGCTTACTTTTATTCTTTTTGACATTGAAAAGAAAAAGGCACCAACATTTTATTTTCAACTTTCCTTGGATCTTTCTGGCTTTGCTTCGTGTTATTGTGGTGGCGTCGAGTAATTTATCTTCTATTCAAGTTAAATTTTTTTATTTATGATCAATTAGCTTTAAATTAAATAATTAATATAATATCATAATCAAATTTTTTTTTATTGTTACACATAATAAGACTTATTAATACGTGATATCTTATATCTTATAATTTTATATTTAAATTAAATTTTTTTATTTAAAATTAATTAATTTTAAATTAAATACTTAATATAATATTTTAAAATTTTTTTCTATTATCATTTCTTAATTCGTTACATAAAAAAAACTTATTTTATTTTCACTTATATGTAGTGGAACATATTAATATTATGGTATCTCATGTCCTATACTTTTACATTTTAATTGGATTTTTTTCACTTATAATTAATTAATTTTAAGTGAAATGAATTTTAAATAAAATATTTAATATCATATCAAAATCAAAATTTTCTTATGTTAATCTTTTCTTATTTATCTGTCAAAAAAAATTTTTATTTTTGTTACACATGATAAGACCTATTAATATGATGGTATCCCACGTCCTATAAAGTTGACCTCTCACTTCCATGAAGGTTGGATGCTTGATGCTTTGCCTTTTTACTTTGCCTGTAAAAAAGAGTTGGTTTTTGTTTTCATAAACACAAGGCAAAAGCTCGTTTTTCTTTAAGCTTTCTTTGATTTGTAGAGAGCGGGGCTGTGTGGAGAAGAGAGAAAATCTCGGTCTTTATCATCGCCGAGAACAATGACGAACGGTGGTGATTTAGTGGATAACAACTGCACTGCTACTGGTGGTTTTGAAGATATGTACGGTGAGGATAGTGCCACGTTGGATCAGCCTGTCACTCCTTGGACTGTCTCTGTTGCTTGGTGATTTCTCCGATTTCTGCGCCAAAGCCACTATTATCTTCAATTTTCTATTTCCGTTTTATAGTATGGTATAATAATTAGATTTTTGGTGTGTTAAAAGTTTGAACTACTAGTAATAATTGTTGTTCAGACATTTTGCAGATGAAGTTTTGTTGGTAAGATATAATGACAAAAGTTAAATCTTCTATCATATTTGTCTTTTCTGTCAAAATTTTATGCATGACCAATATAAAACTATGTTTGTCATTGTGGTTGCTGTTGTTGGCATACTTACTGCCACAAAAGAAAATTTTGATGTATGTGATTTTTCATTTGTCATTTGTCTCCAACAATTTCAATGAAAAATGATCATGATTTGAAAATTTTGGTTGTCTCTCAACTTAAGTTAGATCTCTGTTATTCTTGTTGCAGTGGTTATTCCTTGATGCGGGACCCACATCACAACAAAGGGCTTGCCTTCACTGAGAAAGAAAGAGATGCCCATTACCTGCGTGGCCTTCTGCCCCCTGTTGTTCTCAGTCAGGAGCTTCAGGTGAAGAAGCTGATGCACAACCTTCGCCAATATAAAGTTCCTTTGCAACGATACATGGCCATGATGGATCTTCAGGTACTTGTTCATGCCTTTCATTCCCCACATTGGCAGCTGAGCCAAGTGACTTTAAAATAGTTTTTTCAGTTATTGCACTTTCAATTGAATCACTTCTGCTTTTTAAAGTTAAACTGATGGTCCATTGCATTTTACAGGAGCGGAATGAACGACTTTTCTACAAGCTTCTCGTTGATAATGTGGAGGAACTGCTCCCAGTTGTGTACACTCCAACAGTTGGTGAGGCTTGCCAAAAATATGGCAGCATTTTCAGGCGTCCTCAGGGTCTTTACATCAGTTTGAAAGAGAAGTATGTGTTTGGTTGTGTCCTTTGTCTGCTTTCCTTTTTATCAGTTCTATATGTTGCTGTTGCATAACTAGCTAAGCATCACAATCTATCAGGGGGAAGATTCTGGAAGTATTGAAAAACTGGCCTGAGAGAAGTGTTCAAGTTATTGTAGTAACTGATGGTGAGAGAATTTTGGGACTTGGAGATCTTGGTTGCCAGGTAATGTGATATATGTATTGAAGCTGTGATTGAAACCCTGATCATCTCGTAGACCAACTTAATGGTTTTTGATATGACGATTGTTTTCAGGGAATGGGTATACCTGTAGGAAAACTTTCTCTATATACAGCTCTTGGGGGAGTCCGTCCCTCAGCTGTAAGCATTACTAAAACCACCCGGTTTCATGATTGAATTTCTTTTTCCATCTTTTTTTTAACTAATGGACGAGTTTGTAGTGAAAATTTTGGGCAGTAATGCCACAATAGTCTCCTAATTGCATGTATGCAGTTGAATCAAATTTCTATTTATTATTCACACTTTCTGCAGCTTAAGCAGACAATGTGCTAAGTTTTTTTTAATATTGGCAGTGCTTGCCTATAACTATTGATGTTGGGACAAACAACGAGAAGTTGTTAAATGATGAGTTTTATATTGGGCTCAGGCAAAGGAGGGCAACTGGACAGGTTTGGTGATTTTTCCTTTGCTTCTATAGTTTTTCATCCAGTCATAATTTGTCATGCCATTAACATATGGTATAGGAATATGCTGAACTTCTTCATGAGTTCATGTCCGCAGTTAAGCAGAATTATGGGGAGAAAGTCCTAATACAGGTAATCATCAGTTCATGTTCATTTTAGGCCTTTGCTTCTGGCTTTTTACATGCTCTGGTCTCAGAATAAGCTGAGCCTGATTTTTAGTTTGAGGATTTTGCAAACCACAATGCATTTGAGCTGTTGGCAAAATACAGTTCTACTCATCTTGTTTTCAACGACGATATACAGGTAATATGCAATTACTGGATTCCCCTCTTATTTTTTCCTTAATTGTGATGACATAATTTTAGCTTTGAGAAATATTCTTTCTTATATGGCGACTTTTTCTTAATGGCAGGGTACAGCATCTGTGGTGCTGGCTGGTCTTCTGGCAGCCCTGAGATTACTTGGTGGAACTCTCGCTGATCATAGGTTCTTGTTCCTGGGTGCTGGAGAGGTAAGGCTCATTTAACAGAATGCTAGTAAGGAAGCAGTAGCACTTTCTTTACATGACTTTCCCTCCCCCTTTTCCTCTATATTTTTTATATACAAAAAGAAAAACGTAAACTGAAGATAAATTAAAGGATTGCAAGTATTGAAATTGGAACCCCAATTTGCTGGATGATACTTGTAAGAGTGGTTACATAATCCAACTAGATTAAACTTCGGGATTGATATATGTTTTTGCGTCCTAATTGCATTTGTTTTTGGGTGTTGATAGGCTGGAACTGGTATAGCTGAGCTCATAGCTCTTGAGATCTCAAAGCAGGTAACAAATTTATTTATTTTCTTATACTAAATATTTGTTTCCTTATAAGAAGGTTTATGGTTAAACATATACTGTTTCTTGACAGACTGGAAATTCAATCGAAGAGAACCGCAAGAAGGTTTGGCTTGTAGACTCAAAGGTACTATGAATCTCATCTGAACATCTTGGAAAAAAAATAATGCTAGTTCTTTCTAAAACTGGCATATTTTTGTCCATCTTCTCTCACTGTGATGATCTTGAATTGTGTGGCAGGGATTGATTGTTGACTCTCGCACGGAGTCACTTCAACACTTCAAGAAACCTTGGGCTCATGAGCATAAACCTGTCAAGGAACTTGTAGATGCTATCAAGGTGCGTAACTTGTCTTGAATTATTCACCAAGATTCAAAAAAGAACAGTTTCATATTTTTTTTTCTTTCCTTCTCACCTTTGTTTTGATTAATCAGGCAATCAAGCCAACTGTCCTGATTGGAACATCTGGAGTGGGAAAACAATTCACAAAGGAGGTTGTTGAGTCCATGGCATCCTTAAATGAGGTTCTTTATCTCTCTCTCTCTGTGCCCATATATCTCTATATTCATGTCGACATCATCTCAATCGAAGAGTTTTGTAACTAATCCTGATGGTTGACTTGCAGAAACCTCTTATTATGGCTCTATCCAACCCTACCTCTCAAGCTGAGTGTACAGCAGAAGAAGCATATACATGGAGTAAGGTATATGACAGGCAATTTTCTTCTCTTTTCTTTAACTGGGATGCCTTGCCATAACATAATCTTTACCTTTTTGTTTTCCATTTTTTTTATCTGCAGGGTCGTGCAATCTTTGCCAGTGGAAGCCCATTTGACCCCTTTGAATATGACGGCAAAGTCTTCGTGCCTGGCCAGGTTCTGTCTGTGTATCTCAAGTATTTTGACGCTTGAAATTTACTTGCGCCCTTATGCTAATTGTTTTCACCTTGTTTGATGTCATTCAGGCAAACAATGCTTACATATTCCCTGGATTTGGTTTGGGTTTGATAATTTCTGGTGCAATTCGTTTGCATGATGACATGCTTTTGGCAGCCTGTAAGTGCATTAAAATGCCTCTAGAAAATCCTTCTATAATACCCTTTTTACTACCCATGCAAATGGTGAGCAATTGGACCTAACTGCTTTCTTGTTTCCCTTGTGAAAGCTGAAGAATTGGCTGCCCAAGTGACAGAGGAACACTATGAAAAGGGACTTATTTACCCACCATTCTCGGATATCAGAAAGATATCAGCCAATATCGCTGCTAAGGTTGCTGTCAAGGCATATGAACTTGGTGAGTTCCTGCCTGAAACCTGATGCACGATCATGTCGCTTTCCTTTTATAATGTTTTAAGCTCTTAAAATCACTAACCTCCATATTCATCCATTTACGTTCTTTGATTGTTCTTAGGTCTGGCTTCTCACCTTCCTCAGCCGGAGGATCTCGTTAAATACGCCGAGAGCTGCATGTACAGCCCAGTCTACAGAACCTACCGTTGAAATTGAAGCAGAATCCCATACTTTGTTAGCCTGCCATTTGCAGGCCTCATCTGTGTTAGCTTAAGGTCGACTGAATCATGTGTGTTATGATAATACATTTTATTACCAATTATTTCACTTTGGAGAACCTAAATGCAATGCATCAAAAGCAAAAATCTGGTACCCTGGTTTGGATTCAGCTCAGCTTTATATTCCACATATCAGACTAACAAGATAAAAATAAATAAATAAATAAAGGAGAAAACGTTAGAATAGTGACCCCATAATCAGATTAACTTATAATCCCAAACGCATTAAAATTATATTAGGCTCTTGAAATCATACAGCTAATAGCTTTACTTAGCATGCCACAAATAGCGGCATGAAATCTTATCTTTTCATTTATCAAGGCAAACATTTCATACACGATAGTGCTCCAAAGTTATATACACAATATAAGATCTAACAGTCTGGTTGCATGTTAACTAGAAAAAAATTTCGGATGTACTTGAGAACATAAGGTTTCTAACGCATTTCATGTGTAACTTGACAACTCCTTATACCTCAAAAAGATTTAGGCTTCAACTTCTCATTTGTTGCAATGAAAAGCCACCCCATTTGGGTTTCACAAGATGCACAGTCTATAATTGTCCATGCATACCTGTGGAAAAAAGCAATTAAGTTAATTATGGTTATATGGCCAAAAAAATAAATGAAGAGAACAATCACAAGATAATATTGCAATTCATGGAGGAGTCACCAAGTTTTGCACATTGATTGATTAGACCTAATTTACTGGTTTACACCAACCCTTCTATGAAGTTCCACCAACTACCATATACACCGATGTAATTTTGTCATAACGGAGTAAATCCTCATTTGTCAACTGTTCCTCATGTTCAATCACAAATATAAACTTGCAAAGATGCAACAAAAATCATGAAAACCAGAAGTGAATCACTTTGCTCGTGTCAACCATATCAACATGGTATCATCCTCCCTCCACTATCCTCTTTAAAACAACTCGCTACTAGTCATTACTAGGGATGGCATCGGGTTTTGCTCACCCCGAACCCGACCCGACCCGAAATTAATAAAATATTATTTTTTAAAAATAAATATTTAAAAATATCATTATATAAATATATATATAAATAATTAATTAATTAATTAAAAAATAATTTTTTAATAATGTCGGGTCAGGTAGGGTCGGGTTTTAGGCATACCCGAACCCGATTGTTACCTAATTTACCCGACCCGACACCGACCCGAAACCCGAAATTAAAAAAAAACCCAACCTTATAGGGTCGAGTCGCGCCGAAACCCGTCGGGGACGGGCTTGATTGCCGTCCCTATTTGGCACTCAGAGGCCGCCCGGTTAAAAAGTAACGCTGGTCATTACCTCATACAAAAAGTCATTTGCTTTACAAATGTCATTACCTCATACACAGCCATGTGCATTAACATAAGCAACCAGAGGACCATCAGTAGGCATCACCAACATATCACTGCGCCTAGCAATTAAAATCTGAAGGAAAAAAAAAAGTTAATGAAAATTGAAAAGGACAGCCCATAGGACTGCATGCTATTGCATTAACAACAGAAGAAAGCATGCAAACATATGGCATTGGTATTGACACACACACACACAAGAGAGAGAGAGAGACCTTACATCGAACACAGTCAAGTCTTTCAAGCAACTCAATTTCCCAGTGCAGTCTATATGACATGCCGTCAATTTCCAGAAGCTCCTGCCTTGTAGGTTCAGAGATGGGAATTTTACTTGCAATATAAAATGATAAAAGATAAGGCTTCTTCACAAAACCATCCATGCTTGGCGTCCCAAGTATTTGTTTCCACATATCTGCAGAATAGAAAAATCAAACATTTAACATTGTTAAGATTTGAAAACAAGACCAGGCCAAAAGGAAACAAGTACATAACCAGCGATTTAGTAAATATGAATAGAACTTTTCCTAAATAATGCCTATTTGCGTTTGTGTATACAAAGTATTCTTTTATTCCTTTTTCAAATGTATCACAGAATAAAAAACTCTCATTGCAAGCACACAAAGTATGATAGAGAAAGGGAACATCAATACTCCCAACAAATTCTGAAAATCTGCCATGAACCAGGAACCACATGTAATTTCTTCCACAAAAATTCTTTGAAGAGTTGAACCTCAAAGTAAATACCAGACAAAAGAACAAATAATATTCTCATGAATCACTAACATAGCAAATCTTTAAAGTAAACAAAGTGAATGAGGTGGTTGCAAAGGAGCATAGGGGAATAACTAAAAGCTTGCAAAGGAGCATAGGGAAACAACTAAAATCAAAGTTGAGATACCTGCTGCCTTTTGAGCAAGACAATATGAGTCATACATACGATATACCCAATTGGGCCAAAATGCTCTTGAATCTGTACATGAAAGATGAGACCTTGGTCCTGCCACTTTGTGAGCCATGGATTTGCTCCCAATTCCTAAGCCAGCATTTCTGATTTGTTTCTTATGGCTAGAAGTTGATGAACCTATGAAGCTAAAGTCATTTAGATGTGGACTTCCTGATTGTTTATTAGGCTCAGACAATTTATTCTCATCATCACTACTTGTTGACTCATCCATTCTATCAGACTTATAGCAGGCACCAATTGCAGATTGATGAATTCTCCTTTCTGTTTGAGAAAGTTCACTCTCAAAGCTTTCCTCTGAATTTGCTTCTGAATCATTTTCATGATTCTCACCTTCATGCGATGAAACATTTAAAGATAGCATCTGTTGGCTTCGCAGATTATTTAATGGTACCAATTTTGCATAAGCATCTCGAAGGGTTCTAAGTGGCACATCTTCTTCAATAATTTGAATCTCTCCACAAGGCTTAAAAGAATGAGAATTTACAGCAAATCAGCATTGTATCATACAGGTAATAAAATAAAGATATTTGAGAATATTTTTAGAAAGAAAAAAAAAGAATTTCTTACTGCTCCTTCTGCATCAATCCAACAGTGTCTCAAACGAAATCGCTGTTGGCCACAAGTAACACATTAATCGTACCATCCTCTACCAGACGATATTGCCGAATCTGCAAATGAGAATTAATACAATTAAGTAAAAGTATTATAAAACAACTGCAGTCAAGCTTAAAGTCATTAAGAAATGGTAGTGGAACTTCCAAGGTGCCCAAGGGTACACCACAAAACATGCACACATAATTCAGTTTGACATACTCTAACCACATAATTTTCTCTGGTCCAATAATATAAGCTTATCAAGCAGAATTCAGTTTGACAATGCATATTCGTTGGCAATAGCATTTTTCCTCACCTACTTATTTACACCTATACCTAGACATGTACACTGCATTTTTTCAGATCTTGAATAACCCTTTTCTTTATGTACCTGTCCGGTATGTGGGAAAAGGAGATGTTTTCCTCAAACATGTAACAACTCTTATGCAATGCTATAATTTGTTAGAAATAAAATGTCACAAAATGCAAGTTAAATGCATATCAGCAAGCAAAAATAAACAAGCAGTAGGTTTCGGCATATATACCTCTGCAGTTGTCCCTATTTTTGCTAGCCTTGGTGGTCCATCATCAGAGTGTCTGTAAACACGGACCTGGATAAAGGTTTGTTTCATTATCCAAGAAAAAGATCAACAAGAAAGAAATCACATATGCAAAAAAGTGAAAAAGAAAAGATATGATGGGGAGTTCACCTACCACACCATGGAGCATCAGCCTGGGTCATTGCTCTGTTAACTGCAGTTACAAAGTTGGGTTGAATAACTCTAAGTGGGAGTGTGGCCTCTAGGAACAGGACTACCCCTGGTAATTATTAAACAAAAGGGTTTAAATTCTTCAATCAGATAATACAAAAGCAAAAATTATAGAGAAGGAAACATCCAGAATAATACGAAACCATGTGATTCAAAAACGGACTATCAAACACTGAAGCAGACTTATGTACAATGTGTCTGATGCCATTCTATCACCGTGGCAAATGTGTCAAAGTCCGATAAATAAGCTAAATATCTAATGTTCCTAAAATTTTCCGATTTTACTAATCAACGACAACACAAGAATTTTTATGAATCAATACCTCCAGAACCACAACTTTTGAACATGTATAATCACAAATTATGCCATGCGATGCAAAACAAAAGTAATTGGAATATGATTAAATACCTTCATGATAAAACAATGAGAGGTTCAAGATGGAACCGCCTTCCCAAAAAGCCCATCTGTGACGGGTATCATCAACCTCTGTCATATGCATTCGATAAAGTAAATCTCAAACTGTTAAAATTGGATAAGACTGACCAAAAACTCTATTGTGATAAATAGAGATTATATGATTACAGCCGAGATATGAATGCAGGGAAGTCAAATAGGTATTGAAGGTAAAGTCATCAGTTGAAGCAATGCCAGCACAGTATGAACAACAAAGTTAGAAACCAATAACAAACCGAAGCAATAAACTGAAATAAATCTTAAAAATATTTTAATTTAAACTAAATATCTTTCAACAATTAATAGAATTTTTTTTTCACTAAAAGACTGAATGTTTGAAAAATGAAACAAAATAGCAAAAACGATTCTGCAATATTAATAAATTTAAATTTTCCTAAACCTTCAGTCAAACCAAAATTAAGAACGCTGTGATAAAACGACGATAAATTCTTAATGAAACGGTAAACAACGAATCAAAATATGGAAAAAAGAGAAATTTATATATGGTTACGGTGGTTACGTGGCATCACGATCATTGTCAGATGATTCCAGAAGATCTTCGACTTCTTCGATCTGTAACTCCTCGTCGTCGAGCTCCAGAGTTTGTTCGATCTGTCGCCTCTCTACTTCGTCTTCCATTTTTTTTTTCTTCCCAGTGTTTTAGCTTTTTTTTTTTTTTTTTAAGTTTTCCTTTGTTTTTTCTGGGTTTTGTTCGGAAAATGAAGGATTTATGAACGTTTATTGTAATCGTACCCCGCCAGGTGGCAATTTTCCCTCGGGAAATTGTTTCTTTCTTTCTTCAAACTCTCTCCCTCTCAGCTACGACTTCTGGACTTGAAAAAGCCCGGTCCAATCCAATAAATTTTAGGGATAATACCCATTTGGTCTCTAAATTATTATATATTTTTTAATGTAATACTTAAATAAAAAAATTTTATCAGATATTTAAACTATATTTTTATGTATTAAGTTACTTTAACTTTTAATATTATTAAAATAATATTAAGATAATATTTAAATATTGATATAAATGACAAATGATTTCACGTTACATGTCATTTTTTTTAAATAAAAAGTTTTTAAAATATAATTTTTAAAAAATATTTTTATTATTTTTTATTCTTCAAAAATAATATATAATAATTACATAATTATTACGTTACAATCATGTATCATTCAAGTCAATATTTAAATGTCACAGTAATATTTTTTAAAAAATATTTAAAATTTGAGATAATTTAATACACCAAATTAAATTAAATTTTAAATACATGATTAATATTTTTTAATTTAAATATTACATTAAAAATTTTACAATAATTCAAATATTAAATAAAATATTATCCTTAAATTTTATTACGTCAATTTGAAAAAATGTTTAAAATTATATGTCATCACTCATCACGTAAAATGTTGAAAGGTTCTTTCACAGTGAAAGAATTGTTGAATAACGCAAACTCTTGTTTGGTGCCCAAAAAAAAAACAAAAAAATGTGAGCATGTCAAGAAGTGAACGCCTAATACTTAAATTACGTATGTTCGAATATTTGTAAAAAGAATAAAACTAAAGGTTTTATTTTTTATTACGTGTAAATACAATTATAATCATCAGTTTTTAAAATAAATAAAAAATTCAATTAAAATACTATTGTTATTTGGCATTGTTGAAAAATGCATAACAAATTATAATTGTACTAGATTATAACTAGTGAGATATACAAAATAATTTTATTTATTTAATATAAATATATATATTCAAATTATTTTTTTTAATTTATATTTAAATTTTTAAATTTTATAGCATATATAAAATTTGTATATATTGACTTGTCATTAAAAAATAATTTTTTTGTAAATAATAAAAAAATTATGTATTTCATTTGAATATTTTTGTTTACAATAATATTTATACATCTCTAAGATTATATCAAATAAAAATAAATTATATATATATATATATATTTTAAATAAATATATATTATTGAATGATAAATTAAATAATAAAATAAGTATTAACATATTTTCACTTTAGTAATTTTTACTAAATTATTATGTAAAATATGAAAAATATGTGAAAATATGTGAAAAAATAAAAATAAATTGAAAAAATATTATTTTTCATAAAAATGAAATTGTAATAACAATAAAATATGTCTTAAAAAAAGTTATAAACAAAAAAAAAATTGCAATAGTAATATAATATACCTTAAAAAAAGTTACTAAAAAAATTGATGTATAACACGTTATGTTTGTAGTTTTAATTTTGTAGAAAAATTTTTTTGTGGTAATTAGGATTAAATAAATTAAATTTAAATTAATTTTTTTTATTTAAAATAAATATAATAAGTGATAAAGATAATATTAAAATTTTTGCATTTATTTGAAATATAATTTTGATAATTAGAGTTCAAATGTATATAATTGTTTTGATCAATTTATTATTTAAATTTTTAATATGAAATTTTTTTTAAATTTTGAAATCTTACACAAAATTACTTGAATTTTTAACGTCTTACATAAATTTTTTAAAAGATAATATTTTAAATCAAGATTAAAAAAAAAAACTATTGAAAGATTTGGATAAACTTAATATTTGTAATTTTTAAAAATATTTGAATTTTTTTTATAATTAAATAATTTTTAAATAAGATTATTTGGTAAATAACTAAAATTATTTATTAAACAAGTCAAATCTATAATTCATATTTTTAATTTAAAAAATATATTTTTAAATTGATTTGATTTTTAATTATAATTTAAATAATTTTAATATTTGAATAAATTTATAATTATCTAATTTATAATTAAAACAAATTACCTTATTCTTTTAAAAAATTATTTTATGTGTCATTTAAGAGAGTTATTTTTATATGCGCATATGTGACAAACTTATTTATTTATGTTATTATATAATATATATATTAGATTTTTATAAAATAATTTTAAGGGATAAAACAATTTAAAAGTTGTTCCAATTGAAATTTTTAATTAGTTTTAAATTTTATAATTATAATTATAAAAAAAATATTTAGTATTATTTACAAGCAATAAAAAAGTTAGATGCTTAGTTCCATTTTTTTATTAAAATTTGAAGATATTTTTGAGTATTAAACCATAAGCGAATGATAATAAAACTCATCAGTCATCGTTAACAAGTCTCCATATAAAATTCATTACATAGCCAATCAAAATATCTTTTCAAATGATAATGGTAATACAATTTCAAAATAACCTTGAGTCTCCCTGCTGTCCCTATTCAAGCAACAATATCTAAAAAACATTTATATTAATAAACAATACTATAAAATTTTGAGAACGAAAAAAAAAAACAACTTTTTGAAATATTCAAAATTTTATGAAAACATAAGTTTATGGTAAAAAATGAAAATGAAATTTTGAATTATGTATATTTTGTTATCATTCTTAAACTTTCATATATTATTATTTATATGATTGAAAAAACCGTTACACATATACATTTTATTATACTTACAATTTCTTAACGTCAACTTTAATAACATATTAATGAATTATTATAAATAATTAGTTTTTAGCCCAAAATACAAATGTTGTGTGGGCAAGCATAATCAAAACGTATTAAATTATATGTTTAGAAGTGATGGGACTCTATAATTCACGCAAACAATGAATCAAGTTGCTATTTATTTTGTATAAAAGATGATTTGAATGAAAATTAGATCCCAAAATTAAGGTAAACACAATTAAATTATTAAAGATATTTCATATGTGCATATCTTTTTATTATCGTTTGTATTTATATATTTTCTTTTAATATTTGAATTTAAAAAATAATTTAAATGATTCATTCATTTTTCGCAAGATTGAGATTTAATTTTTTAATATATGTAAATTTATTTTTTATAATTTTTTAAAGTTTTGGTCTCATTTGTAAATAAATATTCTTTACTCTGCAATCATTGAAATAAAAAGAACTCAATAAGTTATTTTTTTTAATTTTGTCAAAATCTTAAAAGACTTTTGATATCTATAAAAAAAAGATTCAAATTTAATTTTTGAATAAATAAAAATATATATTAATTATTGAATCAAATACTTGTATATGAAAAATTAAGATTTTGAAGTAACGCGTGTTTTTTTCTTAATATAAAACATGCTAACGTTCAAAATTTTGTAAGAAACTCATAAGATATCTCATAGTCAATTTTTTATTGTCTAATGACTTGTAAGTTATACATGTACACATATTTTGTTTTTGTAATAACAAAAATACTAGTTAAAAATCATCTTTAAAATAATTTGATTGTTGATACTTTACCAACAGGAAGAAAAAAAGAAAAAAAACTCTTCGGGCAACTAAGCGCAAATAAGATCAAGTGATCAACGGCTCAATTATTCTAGCCGCAAAGTCGCAAATAAAGGTCAACAAGGGTCAAACTTTGGAGAAAGAAACGGAACGATTTGTAAGAGGCCAATTCGTCAGATTCGTCTCAGCTTCTCACTCGTTTTTGCTTGGATAAATCTTCCCAAACACAAATTAGAAAAACCCTCGAAAAAGTGAAGAAAAACGGGGCGCGCGGTTCTCTCTCAGTTTCTCATCCTTTCCAATTCCTCTCCTCGTCTCTCATCTTCACTGTACTCCCTCTCCCTCCTCGCTAGATCTTTTTAAATCGATGAAGACAAATTTTCATCTATTTACATTTTTGTTTGGCTTTTGTAAGCAGGTCTTGTGGCGGACTTCGAAGTAAATACTTGAAAAGACCTGGATTTATCCGAGTTGATTGTTCTATAAATGGAGACAATGGCGATGGTTTCCGTTGTTCCTGCAGTGACTCGCTCTCTCAGCCAGCTGCTCAAGTGACTTCGAGCTCGGTCAGGTAATCTCTATTTTCATAGTTTTATTTTTAATTAAAGTAATGAAAAGAAAATTTGAGGGCTGATCAATGTTTTATCGCTTGACAATGCAATGATTAATATAAGCTTGTTTGTAATTGTAAAATTAAATTTTTGAAAAGGCAGAATGTGCTTGCTATTCTAGAAGAACTTTGTTTACGGCCTGTTTGGGACGATATTAAAGTTGAATTCATTACATTCGAGAATTAATTCTATAGGAAAATTTGCTCATAAGTCACAAATGATTTTTTAATTAATATTTAATTATGTTAATTTAATGTCCAAAGCATTTTACTGGAGATACGGTTTCTAAATGCAAAAATGAGTTACTTACAGGAAGAGGGTAGTGTCTGGAGTCCAGCCAACGGGAGCTATCCACCTTGGGAATTATGTTGGTGCCATAAAGAATTGGATTGCACTTCAGGTTCTACTGACTTTCTCTACTTTATTCTCAAGGTCAAACATGTCAAGTAATAGAATAATATGGTTTTGAGGCATCAGCAATGTACTTCTGATGAAGTGTGTGGGATTAATTTCCGTTTCATTTTTGACCAACTTTAGTCGATTTTGAAGGTAGTATGAGCACTGATGTTTTTTTTTTCTTTAGTAGTGCACTTTTTCTATATTTTCATTGTGAAATTAATATGTGCCATCTTTCATTGAGAATATTCCAAGATTAGGTTTTGTAGGAGGTTCTGGATGCCAAATCATTTTTGTATTCATGAACTTTATAGAGTGCCTTCAATGTTTTGGGTTTCAATAAGAACAGAATAAAATGAACTAATTTAAGCTAGTGGCTGTCTTTGTTATTTCACACTTAAAAGGACACTTTACTGTTAGGCTTAAAATTTTGAATGATTAAGTGCTTCTTAATGTGGTTTTGTTTTTGCAGAACTCGTATGACACTCTCTTTTTCATTGTGGACCTCCATGCGGTATGTTTGGAATATTATTTATGATTATCTGTTAAAAATTCCTTGTTGATATGGCTTTCTCAGAATCAATCTTTTATGTTGGGCTGCTTTTTGAAAGCATTCTTGATTCTGTATGACCATATAGCTATTTTCAATCACTTCATTTTTCTCTACATGCAGATTACACTGCCATATGATACACAACAATTTTCTAAGGCAACAAGGAATACAGCAGCTATTTATTTGGCATGTGGCGTGGACACCTCAAAGGTGGCCCTTTATGATAGTTTTATGTCATTTCTCCATATGTTTGAATCCCTGATTTCTAAGAAATAATTTCATTTTGCCATGCAGGCTTCTGTCTTTGTGCAGTCACATGTTCGTGCCCATGTAGAATTGATGTGGCTACTGAGTTCTGCCACACCAATTGGTTGGCTAAACAGAATGATTCAGTTTAAAGAGAAATCTCACAAGGCGGTGTGTTTATAGCTGTATGACAGCTCCATCTCCATTACATATCATTAATGTTTTTATTACTATCATTATAGATCTAACTTTCCTTGGAATTCTCTACCATAACCTCTTAGCAATGAAGTTTTTGTCCCTCTGCATTTGGAATTGGATTGTGGGAGTGGTTTGGTTTTAATTCTTTAATACAAATATTGGGAGAAGAATTCAGCTGGCATATGATAAACTTCTTTATAAAATCATTATTATCACACAATGTTCTTAGGTGCTGTGAATGTGTACGCATCGGTTCTCAGTAATGCAGAAATAGTTCAGTGAAAGCAAAGATCATTCTATTGGATATCAGTTCCTGTGATAGTCCTTCACTTTGCATCTTTTATACTTTTGGTAGTATCACAATACTATCCAAAAAAAGAAAGTAGGACAGCTAGCATTCATGTAATGCTTTTGTTTTTAATATCAGGGTAACAGTGGTATCACAATATTATCCAAAAAGAGAAAGTAGGACAGCTACCATTCATGTAATGCTTTTGTTTTTAATATCAGGGTAACAGGGGATTATTATTCTTTCTAGTGGAGTCATTATTTCATTTTGTCTTGTTTCTTTTATCAAATTTATGCTTTTTGTCTATTTAAATCATTTGTCTTCCTCCGTTTGGTTTTGCAGGGAGATGAAAATGTTGGGGTTGCTCTATTGACCTATCCTGTTCTTATGGCTTCTGATATTCTTTTGTATCAGGTAGCTTTGGAAACATGAATATTATCCATTATTTGAGCATGCTTAACAATCTTGATAGCCTGGCCAAAAAAAAAAAAAAAACCCTTGATAGTTTGTGTATTGTATCTGAAAAATGCTGATGTATGATTCTTACACAATTCCAGCATGCTTCTGCCATCTGATTTTGTCCCAGTTGGTGAAGATCAGAAGCAGCATTTGGAGTTAACACGTGAGTTGGCTGAGCGTGTTAACTATTTATATGGTGGAAGGAAGTGGAAAAAGCTGGGAGAGTGAGAATCAAATTATATCTTTAAATATTCATTTAAGTTTATTATGATTATGTCTGTTCCTCTTTTTTGTTTGCTCTACGCTATCATCACTAAATCTACTCTTTTTTGTTTGGTCACAGGCGTGGTGGTGCTATTTTTAAGGTGTCATTTCAATACCAATACTTGGTTTAGACATTGCATATAAGTTCATGAACCATCACAAATTATGAAAGGTTCTTATCTAAGTTTGTTCTCTTATTTAGATTCCTGAGCCCCTAATACCACCAGCTGGAGCACGAGTTATGTCCCTCAGTGATGGTCTTTCGAAGGTTTTCAGCAATCTATGTTTTGATATGTGAAACTTGCCTGCAGTGGATGAATATGAGAGTTTCTGACTTACTCACCTTAGACATAGTGCAATTTCCTCTTTGATGAATTGGTTGAGGGTGATCACATTGGGAACTCTTAGGATTTAATAATTGAGTATATTCTTTTACATTTTTATTTCTATGCTGCTATCATTCTGAGTGATTTAGTACCATCTCAAAGTAATGGTTAAGTTTTAAACTCTCACAATGGTCTAGGGCAGATAGACCTAACAGTCTTAAGATGGCTTTAGTAATCTCCCTACATTAACTTTTTGTGGTTACTTATTCAATTAACATAAGTCATGTCTTTCGTGCCTTCTTTTTCACTTCCATTGCTTAATGAAGGACTTTGAAAGCTTTCTTCAAACTTTAACCTAGTTACTTGTTCATATAAATAATCTTCTCATTATTCAAATTATCTTTAGCAAAGCTTTGCAGTTTGTAAATGGGGATATTTGATCCTTGCTCTTAACCATATGATTATTATCCTAAATATAATAAAAATTCCATCCTTATACTGAGTGGAAGATAATAAAAAATATGAAGTGACCTTTCAACTTTTATTCATCTTTTAGATCTCGCCCCATGACCAGCAAAGAGGAAATAAATAATAGCTGATGAAACTGTCATAATCTATTTGTTTGTTTTCTGAAACGATTTTTTCTGATACTGATTGATATGTTTCTGGGATTTAATCTTATAGATGTCAAAGTCTGCAACTTCTGATCAGTCTCGAATCAATCTTCTTGACCCCAAAGATGTGAGTAGTTTAATACATTTCTGCCTTGTCTCACCTTGCCTTGTGTGTTTGAAGATTATAAAAGGTTTTAAAAATTTCGTGCATGGTAGTCATTGATGTAATGGGTCTTTAACCTGAATTGGGCTTCAAAAGTTAATTTTGAGTTGCAGTATTCTGGGGGAAAAGGAAAGTGTTCTTGTGGACCATCTTACAAAGTTTTTTCCTTGTAAGTTTATCTAATAGAGTTAATACTAGCTTTTTGTAATTAAGGAACATATTCTCGTATGACTCCATGCAGTCGTTTATTGATGCTATTAAAAAGTTATGTAGCTTAGCTGGTTTCAATTAATCTCCAGTTTGGTCTAAATTAATCTCCTTTTTTTGGTGGTAGGTGATAGCAAACAAGATAAAGCGTTGCAAGACTGACTCGTTTCCAGGGTTAATTCCTAGCCTATCCAGATAATTTGAAGTTTTCCTTATATTTCCATTTTTATTTTCTTGTTTACATTTTTGTGTTGTTTGTGTTTCTTGTGGCAATTCTTATAGCCTGGAATTTGACAATCCTGAACGTCCCGAATGCAACAACCTTCTTTCTATATATCAGCTAATTTCAAGTAAGACAAAAGAGGTTTGAATATTAGGTGTTTCTTACTTGAGTTTTGAGTACTGCATGTGTGTGAGATTTAAAATTTGCCTATCTGTTCTTGTTCATCCAAGATAAGACAATCCTATAGTAATTTGACATCACATTACAATTACTTTGGACTAAGCTAACAGTAAGCCACTGAATGTTTGATTGATTCTGGTCATAAATTTTGCTTCAAGAAAATGTGTCAGGGTTTTCTATGCTTCAGTATTCTGAATTTAACATACAAACATAGGAGTAGGTGTGAAATGCTTTAAGAAACACATAATCATTCTCTCCTTTTGAATACCTGTACATTTTGTACATTGCATTTGAAATTCTTCTTAATATTAAAGTTGCTGCTTTGATATAAGAAATTGTGGGATCATCAGTCAGTCTAGATAGCTTAGGAGAGATTCAACACCTAATTGTCTTATGTTTTGTCCCTTTTTCAGGAAGTTGCCCAGGAATGCCAAGATATGAACTGGGGCACATTTAAAACCCTCCTAACCGATGCATTGGTTGATCCTATCCAGGTTCTTAGCTATATATACAGGTTTTTTTACTGGGTTACAGTGCATGATAGGAACATATACATGCAATTCTGTTTTAACTATAATTTGTTTTTGTTACAATTGGGCGTGTTATTTTCCTAAGGGACTTGGGTGTTTATTTTTATGTTAATACTTCATCCTAGAAATGTATGCAAACTTAAGATTAATTATATTAAATTAAATGCTGGCTTGCAAAGAGTTTTAACCATAACAGTTCATATGTTCATGGGAAAGAAATACATGTTTATGTATGATTTATGTTGACTAATTATTGTTGCTTTCAATCATGAATAGTGGTAAAAAACTCTTGCTGATGTACTTGAAATCCAGTGAGTCCGGGCTATCTTATGTTAGCTGTTTGGTCAACCTTGGAAGTCACACATTTGTGCAAATGATTCCGCAATTGTTATGAAGCTGCCTACTGCAGCCTCGGCAGTCTAATAAACATAAAATCTAATCAGGTCATGATGCTGCTTCAGTGTTGAACCCCCATTGGTGCCTGGTTGGTACCAATGTTTGATTAGATTCCATCTTTGATAGTAGTGACAGCATGTGTTTCTTTTCATGAATAATTTGTATGTACATGGAGATTTTTTTTGCTTGATGAGTATGGAGTTGTTGTTTTCAGCCAAAATTGTGACCATATTTGGTCCAATCATTTTGTTGATTTCCCTACTTTGCTAATGGCATTGGTTTTGCAAGTCTGAAAGCTATCAAATTCTCTTCCACTGATGATCTTTTATCATTATTGTTTGGGTGTCCCCATCATTAGTCAGGTTTTCTGATTTTGCAGGTTCGGCATGAGGAAATTATTTCTGATCCAGCTTATTTGGATGGAGTCTTGGCAGAAGGGGCTATGAAAGCTGCAGCTATAGCTGATGCTACTCTCAATAATGTCTACCAGGCAATGGGATTCTTGCGTAGATGAGTTAAATGATTTGTATATAAACCTTAACGTGACTTTTAGATGATACATCATCGCCCACAGTTTTTTGGAGTATATACCCATTAAAATGTTCTGAATGAGTGAAAAGGTTATTCATTTGAAGGCCCACAAATTGTTTGATGAGTTTGCTCTACCTCTCCTTTACAGACAGGTGCCATTTATATCCCATAATGTTTGTTAAAGTTGGTGTCTTATTGCTTTTTTCCTAAGACAGTTTTAGTTGTGTAAAATACTCTAATAGCCTAATAAAAACTTGTTTCTCTTTCATATTTTTGAGTTGGTACAAAATTTACTTTACCTAGGTAATCTTCTATAAACTGTCATATTTTTCCACTTAAGGCTTGTGTGCAGTGGTTTATCAACAAATCCTTTTGGCTCATGAAATAGTTTACTGTGCTTGACTGCTGGTTAAATTCTTATTTGTTTTTTTTTAGTGGCATGACATTGTCATAAAAATTTACTATAGTTCACAGTGATTGGTGTGATATTTTAAATGTTTTTTTTTTTCTGGATTTACTTACAATATTGATAATGTATTGGATTGTATTCTTTGGTTAGACAACTTAGAAAGTAACCTCTAAAATTTCCCAAGTCTTTCCAAGGATATTGGCTTTAAATGATCTGAATGGAGAAAACAGATAAAGATTCATCTAGCTTACCACGACTAGTTTTGGATTAAGGCTTAGTTGAGTTGAGTTTCGAAACTTCAGAATTTAGGTTTTTGAGAATTGTTTCTTAGAAACTTCATCCTTGTTAGAAGCAAATTTGTCATTACATGTAGTGTTTATCATGTCCATGGTGGGGTTCTTATCAGCATAGGAGACTGATAGAGGAGCGAATATCGGTTCCTCCAGTGAAAGTCAAAATCAGCAATTCATATTCTCATCCAATTCCACCTGTCCACAGCCTTTCCTTTAACAAAGGAGAAGATGTGATCAAGCATCTATTAAAGACCATATGAGGGAGACAGTGAGAGGTCAATGTCCCTCTAAAATCACCTTCTACCCTCTTTCTTTCCCACTCTCTTCGATGGGTGGCAATGGAATAAAGGGAGTGTCCTTCTCAACTCTTCTTTAACTTTTGGCTGTTTCATAGAGAAAGATAGACAGAGAAAGATACATGACAAGGACCACTATCTGCTCATCTAAAGGTAATGTTCTCATTCCAATGATTAACATAATTTTGGTCTCTTCTGTTTCTCCTTTTTTGGTTTCCTCAGGATCCTCTTTGATTCCTTTTTGCATTTTAAATTTCTCTTGTTACAAGGCTTTGCTGCTTAAGAGAACCTTGTTTTACTAAAACAAACAGAAGCCAAAGATAATTATGAAATCGTGGTTTTGGCACAATTTCTTTGGCATAGTTACTCATAGGAAAATGTACTTCTCTCAGTTGTTGGCAATATCCAATCTGATGGCACAGCCATGCAGATTGAAGACTTATTTCAAGACATTCCAGTTCTAGGAGAGCTAATGACCATGTGTCTGAAACTTTTGTACACATTTTTCTACTTGCATATGGTTGCTAGGTCAATATCCATTGATCTTTCTAGAGCATGATATGTCTGCCTGCACCTTTAGCTTGCTCCAGATTCCACTTCCAAAGATTTATCTGAATAAGGTCCCCTGAAAGGTTGAGTATTGAGATTAGTAATTACCTTTTTGGATAAACGACACAAACTTTTTATTCCAGTAATTGACTTGTGACAGCGAGTAGTTTCACTGTTTTGTCTTTTTTAATTCTTAAATTTTTAGATTTAAAATAATACTATAGCACAAGTAGATGCAAGTAATAAGAAATGATATGAGAGTTAAAGATATAGATGAAAATGTTGTTTTTTTATAGAAATAATTGGCACAAGAAGATTTAAAACTACAATTTAACATAATTTTTTTTTTTACTTTTCATACAATTGACTCCAATGTTATGAGATATAAGGTTTAATTTGTCATTATATTATACCATAACACAATGATAAGTGACCCTGTTTCTAGTTTTCAACGAATAGGAATAATGGGATTATCGGAGCCTTCTTGAGTAATCCCAACGAGTTCAAGTAGTCTGCTAAATGCGAACATATTACATTGATTTTAAGTTTCTTGATATCATAAGATTGATTGAATGGTTTGATTAATAGAATTTATAATCATATTATTTGATTGAATGCTTACATATTTCACCAGTTTCTCCTTCTGGTCGGCAGGTATCTGAAGGAGCATTTGGCTGATTGCTCGGAGGGTGGTTGATGCTTCAAAACCGAGAACTCAATACAATTTACTGGCTGATTGAGTCTGGTATTCGTTTATTAAGTATTTAATAAAGTTAATTACATTCCATATTTTTAATGTTCAGCTTTAGAATTCTTGTAGTTAGGCTTCGTCGATTTTTCTTGAGTAAAAAAAAAAGGATGAATAAAGCAGCTATACGTTCTTAATGTAGAAATTTGTTGCCTGAGTCGGTTTGTTCGACGGTGGACATGTGATGTAACCTTCTTGGGAAAGATTTCGAGTGTTGGTCGACGGCTGCGATTGAAGATGGCAACAGGGACGTCTTATAGTTATAGGCTTAAAGCCCATCTCTTCTCTTTCGGCCAACGTTTGTTAGCCACGTTCCCAAAACTAAAAGGTAATTTTCAGTTTTTTTTTTTTTTGTTCTCATTGTACTCTTCTCTCCCTTGGATACGTCCACTCAATTAGCTATAAGAACTTACCTTGGTAGGAAGAGATTACGTCTCGAATGGACAACTCTCCCAATTCCCGAAATCTCATGTCGTTGAGCCAAAGGCTCTCAGGTGATCTTCAGCTTTAGTAGTAGTCAATTTATAAAAAAAAATAAAGTAAAAAGAATAATATTACGAATGGTATCTTAAATTATAATAAAATATTTAATATGATAATTAAATTTAAAATTTTTTTAATATGATGTATAAATTATGAATTCGATAATTAATATAGTACTTGTAAAATTATTTATTTATCGCATATTATCATTTAATAATAATCACATTAAAAATTAATATTATATTAATTAATAAATTTATAATTTAAATATCATATTAAAAATTTTTGAAATTCTAATATCATATTGAATATACACTATAATTTTGAAATTATTCAAATTCATGACATTAATCTAAGAAAAAAAAAACCAAAGTATTTAGGAAATAATATTCTCTCGTTCATGTTTGTTTTGCTAGAAGGGTACATTATATTTATACATAAATCTTTTTTTTTGAAGATTTGAACTTCAAAATTTAATTTGGTATACAAAGTTGAATTTCAAATTATTTATAGACCATCAGGGGACTCTTTAAATGACTATAAGTTTTAATTTGATAAGACGAAAAATCAGTTCATATGATGCAGACACATTTAAACGAATTGTTCACGACTGAGATTGTTGAAATAGAAAATAGATTTGTGTGGAGAGTAGGACTATCGATTTCCTTAGTATGCTATCATGTTTGCCAAGTATATCCCCTTACAACGTTGAAGCCGAAGGACAAATTCAACTTATGATAAGTTGCGCCATTAAAAATGTCAAGTGCTTATGATAATTAAACTTTTTTATTGAAAAATTAGTGAATCTTTGACCATAAAACGTTGAAGAACTATATAGATTAATCTTACTTAAATCCCACTTATATACTTCGGAGGTTTTAAATGCGGTAAAATTTTTTTTTTTTCATAGAACTTTTAATTTGTGATAAAAAACGAAAAATGATATAAGAATTTAATTTAAGTGATTCATGTAATTATTTTTAAAAAATAATATATAATAAATTTAATATTTAAATTTTAATATCTGTAATTTTTTTTAAGTTTTAGATTGCATTTTTTATGAAAAAAAAAATATAAAATATGAAATCTTTCGTACAAATATTACCAAAAGAAAAAAAAAGCCTCCTTGGTATTAGATGTAAACTTGCGTCGAATCCTTATTCCGTTGACAATTTCTTACTCTATCCAAAACATCATCAAAAGGTAAATGGATATACCAATAAGATAATTGTTTGACACGTAAGCCTTTTGTTATATTTTTTTAGCCGTTGATTCTCCCTTTTTTTCTTTTTTGGCCATAATTCTTTCTCCCTTTTTCTTACAACAGGGAAAAGCCGTATGCTATAAATACAAAGGCATGCCCACAAATCAAGCATCAAATCTCACCTTACACAGCAGGGCTACCAATCCTTGAAATATCAGATTTTACCACTTTGTTTACAGGGAAAGCGAGGATGGAGAGGAATCGCTTGCAACAAGAAGTTGCCTGCATGAGAAGGTCCCTCTTTGATCAGGTCCTCTCTTATTTTCATTTTTCATTCATCTCCAAAACCTCGTTGCTTTTTCTTTACTTTGGCCTTTAGTAAATCAACATTGAACAAAAACAAAGCAAATTAAGTTCCCAAATGAAGTCTAAGTCAAATGTACAGATTATACGACTTGGATGGTTTTGTTTAACTTCACGTGATGCCCACTTCAAGCATTTTCAAGAATATACAATTCAATTTTTAATTACACAAGCTATATTAACCACTTACAAGTGAAACATAAAACATATTTTTTTTAACTAATTGAGCCTTTCCATTTGACTCATCAAATCCAACACAAAATCCCCACTAATCATTTGTATTTTATTGAAGCTTTGCTACTCAACAGATTCAAGTAAAAATTTTCTACTTTCTTTTCTATGATATCCATAGTTAATTCATTGCCAAATCAAGTAAAATGTGCAAATTGAAGCATTGTTTTAGGGTTATCTTGAGGAGCAATTCATTCAGCTGGAGGAGTTACAAGATGATGCCAACCCTAATTTTGTTCAAGAAATTGTTGCACTATTTTACACTGACTCAGCAAGATTGATTCAGAACATCGAACAGACACTGTAAGAGGAACAATATATACTCATATTAATCATCAATAGGATTAGGATTACTGTGACACATATATAACTTGCGGCTGAAAATCAAAGTTTCCTTACTATGGAAAGTCCATTAACCCATGCATGCAGGAACAGTAAGCCTATTGACTTCAGTAAACTGGATGATTACATGCACCAATTCAAGGGCAGCAGCTCCAGGTAAACTCTTGAATACCCAGATTATAAAATAATTAATGTTACTAGTATATTATTAGCAATATAATTGTTTTGCTAAATTACTTGGTTATATTGTTTATGATATACTTGAAGCATTGGGGCTAAAAAGGTGACGGATGAATGTACAGTGTTCAGAGAATACTGCAGTGCAGAAAATGCTGAAGGGTACTTTTCTTGTCTACTTTCTTTTCCTATCTCCAGTTAATTAGATACATGCAGATTAGTACAATACTTAAATCATGATCTACTCCCGATAGCCAGAATTCAATTGGCAAACCCTTTCTGAAGTGAATTCAGGATCTTGATTTTATAGATGCATTAGGACTTTTCAACAAGTCAAGCAAGAGTATACAATCTTGAGGAGGAAGCTCGAAGTTTATTTTCAGGTTTCATAACTTAATCTGTTCAATTATTTTGTACCAACACTTGCATGTTTATAACTTCTAAATAAGCGAATACGTACTAACTTTTAGTAATTGCTTTGTCTGGTTTCTATTCAGATGGTGAGACAGGCTGCAGTTGCTCACTCAGCATGAGGTGCCCTGTTAGGTACCGAAATGGAGATATCCTGATATAGCCTTCAATATGATTAGTTCATTACCATGGAAACAAGGATATATTTTGTAAATGATGCATAACTAATTATGTCTTGAATATCTAAATATTATCAATAATAGGAACAATAATCTGCCACTTTATATTTTCCTACTGCTTTTGATCGAGTTGTTTCCCCTGCCTCCGCCCGAACTCTTTCCTTTATTTGGTGGGTTGGCAGGGATATATCCAGTGAGTGCATCACAAACTTTATGGAAAAGGCCAGGGGCTGATCTGAAGTTCCAAATTTATGGTCTCCTGGGCAAAAAGGTCATGGTCTTCCCTTTCTTGCACTTTGTAGTTGAAAGGAAATGAAGGGTTCAGGTTGGAGACTTGGGGTGGTGGTTTGTCAAATTCAACCATTCAAGTTCGCTCTATGCTTTCAAGATTTGGATATGGAAGTCTTGGGGTTTGGTTTGTCGGAAAGGCAGCCCCCAGATTTCCCATTTGAATCCACTCACATGATTCTAGTGTTATGGTATTAATTTCTGGGCCAAAGTTTGCACAATGTCTGGAGAGAGGAAGTAAAATGGCTAAAGAGAATAGAATAATAAACATTAAAAGCTGTACAAAACAAAAAGAACCTTGCACTGTTTGTCTTTGTATCTGATTTGGTTTGGTGAATCATCAGGAAGAGGGATCAAGCCATCAATTATCAATAAACAAAATATACATGCTTTCTTTAAAATCATCATCACATCTTTGATTTCCGGTGTTCAAGTAAATATATAAACATCAAAGAATTTTCTTTCCAGAAGTCTTAGTACAAGATGCTTAATATATAGCAGATACAACCGATTTTACAGGTGCAAAAAAGAATTAATACCTTAAAGATTTTAATCATATTTGATATAGTAGTTATGAATTAATGGAAGAGATGGAGCGAAAAAGGGAGATTATTGGTTGGCTGGCTAGCAGCAGGCAAACTAGTAACGATAAAACGATCAAGAAATAAGGAGAAGAAAAGGGAGGAATGAAGCAAAAAAGGTCCAAAAAGTCTCCCCTTAAAGTGAAGTTGGGGAATTATCAGGGCAGGCAGTGATCGATCATTTCTTAATAAATGGGTTGTTGTTTTTAGAGGGCTTCACCACCATTTACAGATGGTGATCACCAAAGGGTTAGTTGTTCTGGTAATAATGATGACCGAGACTTTAGTTTTTTCTCTGTTTTCCATTATTCATTGAGCATTTCCATTGCCTTCATTGTCCCAAATGCTAAACCCATCGAAGCAAAGGTAGGCCTCTCCCCCCATATCCATGATCCGATGATTGTAGAAAGCATGCCTGAAAGAGTTTCAAGAGTCAAACAAATTAATAATGACTCCTACGAAGGCATTGTAAAATAAATATAATTATTTCTTTGAGTTCTCTTTTAAATCAGGACCTATTCAAGGATTGTAGTTTCAATAAATGTTTGAAATACTTATTTGAATATAAAAAATAAAAAAAATTATTTAAATAAAATAATAAAATTCAGGATTTTTTATATTATTTTAGTCCTCTCAAATTTGGTTTTAGAATTGACATGTTAAAAAAAGCCTTAAACCCAAATAGTTAAATTCAAGCAGCCCATTTAGATAACACAAACAGACAGAAGAGCCCAATTCCAAAACGAAAATTCCTTTGCCCACCCAAAGGTTAAGGCCTTCTAGGGTTTACTCATTTTTTCTTTTCCTCTCTGATTGTTTCATAATTAATAAAAATTTATGTATCAAACCCCTCTTTTCTATTCAAGACCTCAACTTTTCTTGCAGATCGCCACCGAGGTAAAAAAAAAAAAAAAAAAAAAGATCGATTTTTTCATTCATGCAAAACAACAAAGTTGTTGCTTTTCTCTTCCTATTTTCCCAAATTTATTGTTCACCGTCTGAAAGTGATATGTTTTTCTAGGGTTTTGTTCTGTTCTAATTTGTTTCATGGGTTTTAGCTTAGATTGCATTTATAATCGTTTTCTTTGAATTTTTTTTCATTTTTTATTTAACTTGAAATTAGCTTGTGACCTTTAGAAATGGAAAAGAAGAGTGTCCCAAAAACATATATGTAGATTTGTCTCCTAGAATTTTTTTGCATTTATTAAGTTTTTAGGACTTCCTATGTTGATTTTATTTGGTTTTATAGGCCATCGAAGCTGTTAAATAACGTTAGTTTATTGAAATCACGCCAGATTAGATGCTTTCTGAAATCTTTGTTCTAATCAGACCTAAGGTTGTAATTTGTTAGATCCGGCAATTTGCATATTTGTGTTGTGTAAAATATTGACTATTTGTGAATTCATTCGTGATTTACAAAAAAATTACCTGTGTATCAATATGAAAATATGAAATATATATTTTTTGTTTCATTAAATCCATATATGGTTGTTGTTAAAATTTTAAACCGTGTTATTTTCATGCTTTTTATTCGTATGGTTTTTGTGTCATATCATCATGTTTTGTTTTAGATTACCAGGTCTATAATTTGTTCTGGAATCTGGAATCTGGAATCGTTCTTGTTGTTTGTGGAAATTTGAGCTTTTTTTTTTTACGGGTGAATTTTGTAGGGAATTTTGGAACTTGGGGGGTGTTTTTAATAGAAAAGGCACAATCTTTGTGAGCCATGGGGACTCCTGAAACTTCTCGAGAGCCATGCCCTGATCGAATTCTTGATGATATTGGTGGTGCTTTTGGTATGGGTGCAGTTGGAGGTGCAGCCTTCCACTTCATAAAAGGCACGTATAACTCCCCTAGTGGTGCTCGGTTGATTGGTGGAACTCAAGCATTGCGTATGAATGCCCCTCGTGTTGGTGGTAGTTTTGCTGTTTGGGGTGGCCTTTTTTCCACCTTTGATTGCACTATGGTATACGTCCGACAGAAAGAAGATCCTTGGAACTCCATCATAGCTGGTGCTGCCACTGGAGGGTTTCTTTCAATGCGTCAAGGACTTGGTGCTGCTTCCAGAGCAGCAGTGTTTGGTGGGGTTTTGCTTGCTTTGATTGAAGGAGCTGGGATCATGTTGAATAAATTTCTCAGTCAGCCACAGATGCCTATAATGATTGAAGAGCCAGCACCGAATGTAGCTGGTATGCCTGGAATTCCGATGGGGCAATTACCAAACCACGCCCCTGCATCAGTTAATAGTTTGAGACAGGACTCACCTTCATCATCGTCATCATCATCACCTTCCTCATCAAATTCTTCCTCGTCATGGTTTGGAGGACTTTTTGGTGGTGGAAAGAAGCAGGAATCAACAACAGATAGTGGAAGTAAGACGGAGGTTTTGGAGAGCTTTGATGCTCCTCCGGTGCCATCATTTCAATACAAATAAAGTGGTGGCTAGCCAATTCGTCCCCGCTAGCAGCAGAGCCTAACTTACTGTCCCTGTAATCCTGCCCTTTTTCAGCCCTTTTAAGTGTTTGAACTTACTCAGTTTGCATTTTATCATTGCATGAATCAATAGTTATTTCTTTTATATTCTTTCCCCAATTAAACCTACATGTCTTTGCGTGCTTTTTCTCTTCGGTCAAATACTTAAATAAAACGTGGAACTGTTTAGATTTGAATCAGGGTGTCCACCTTATCAAAACGTAGATAAAATTTCTTGAATGACAACCATTTTGTTATTGAAAATTGAATATGGTGGGATTGATGTGGCTGTCAAGTTGCAAGTCTTCTTTCATATTTTCTACCGTACATCCACTTTCTCATAAAAATGGTTATGGCACTCGCATTTGATCAAAAAAATATTCATACATTTTCCTTACCTGATATAGATTTCAATAATATAAGTGTATGCTAATGGTAGAAAAACTGGGGTCACCTAACATTTAGGAATCGGATCAACAACCTATACTTTTACTATCAAATTGCTTGTCATTATGATTTTTGAGGAATCAAAGTAGAACACCTTTATGAACTGAAGAAAGCTAACTTTTGACTATAAAACTCCCTATCAAACTAGAAAATCAGTTCCTGGGGCAGCCGACAGCTAAAAAAAAACCAGCAAACTGTATCTTACAAGCTGCTGAATTGGATTGGAATTTTCCCCCAGGTCTTGACATATATTGCACGGCAGGCACATCCAAGGTGTAGAGCTAGTTTGACCAAATGGACATGTTGGAAAAATGGAATAAAAATTAATTAAAAACTAGATACGCTCAACAATTTGACCCAAGCATAGCCAATAGAATAGTCAGGCATTCAAAAGGACAAAGCCTTTTCTTGAACGCAACATTCAAACAAGAAATTAAACGTGTAGGAATTCCAAGTATTCGAAGCTTCTCATCGGTTGCAAATTCTGTTTTGTCTGGCATCAACCTCACGTCACTATTAACCTTTGACCGAAGGCTACTAAAAGTTGACTGACTGACCCATTGGCTCAAGCTTAAGCTGGTCCTAAGCTCAGTCTATCTCAAAAAGAAACCATTCTTTTTTTTTGTTGTATTGGTTTTACACTTAGCGTTCAACCGTTTATAGTAACTCAAATTTCCTCTTTGGTAATCCCCAACTTAGAATCAATATTAATTATAGTACTAGTAAAATTATGAATTTTAATATAGGTTATATTGAACAAGTATAAAAAGAGAGGCTATGAAAACATTGATGTAAATGAAAAACAAATTGAAAAATTTTATCTTCTCCTGAATTTCAAAGCTCTCTAGCCAACTTAACTACGTAACTATAGGAGCCAAGTGGGCCTTGGCTCAAAGTCAAGCAGCCTGTGTTGGTTGACTATTCCGCCAAGATTTTCACAAAAAGACCCAGTTGGCTTACGTACAAGCTTTGCTTGGTACTATCAACTATGCACGTTGTTGCTCAAAACTATAATCAAAATTTCTACACAAATCAGTGGAACTCTAGGCACGTGATTTGACTCTCAGCGCAGCTAGAAAGTGGCCAAAAAGCAATTTACAACAGAACCAAAAGCTTACTTATAATCTCACGAATCAGTGTCTCCCTGCCATGGCCCAACCAAAACCACCAACGAAAATTTGAAACCCGCCACCTGAAACTATCAAGAAAATGTCTGAACTACGCTTATCGTTTCTCTTCCTTCTCTTCATCTCCATACCCCTCAAAGTAATTTATTCACAAGACATATATACAGAACGAACTGTTCTTCTCAAACTGAAACAACAACTGGGCAATCCACCGGCCATCGGATCCTGGAAATCATCATCCTCACCGTGTGATTGGCCGGAGATCAACTGCACCGCCAGTTCGGTAACCGAAGTTCATCTCCGTGACAAGAACATCATGGTAAGGATTCCCCCAACAATATGTGACCTCAAAAACCTCACTTTCCTTGACCTTGCCTCAAATTTTATCCCTGGAGAGTTCCCAACGCTTTACAATTGTTCAAAGCTCCAAATCTTAGACCTTTCCCAGAACTATTTTGTTGGTCCAATTCCTGACGAGATTGACCGATTATCAACTCTGTTTTTCTTGGATATTAGTGGCAATAATTTTTCTGGTAATATTCCACCAAGTATTGGAAGATTACCAGAGTTGCAAACCTTAAACATCTACCAAAATCAGTTCAATGGGACGTTTCCTAAGGAAATTGGTAACTTGTCCAATCTTGAGTTTTTGAAAATGGCTCACAATGGGTTTGACCCCATGAACATACCTCAAGAGTTTGGTCAGCTAAGGAAGTTGCGGTTCTTATGGATGACACAAACCAATTTGATCGGTGAAATTCCGGAAAGTTTCAACAACCTTTCCACTCTAAAGCACTTGGACCTATCTAAAAACAATTTGGAAGGTCCTATTCCAAGTAGGCTGTTTTCGTTCAAGAATCTAACCGACATGTATCTCTACCGTAATAAGCTGTCCGGTGAGATACCCAAAAGCATCGACGCTTTGAACATGGTTGAAATTGATCTTTCCATGAATAATTTGACTGGCTCTATTCCAGAGGACTTCGGGAAGTTACAATATTTGGTCTTCTTAAACGTGTTTTCAAACCAGTTAACAGGAGAGTTGCCAACAAGCATTGCCCAACTTCCTGCCTTGAGAGATTTTCGTGTTTTTGATAACAAGTTGACCGGAGTCTTGCCACCAGAATTCGGCCTTCATTCAAAGCTCGAAGGATTTGAGGTATCGCAGAATCAATTCAGTGGCCAACTGCCCGCAAATTTATGTGCTGGAGGCGTCCTACAAGGAGTGGTTGCACATACAAACAATCTCAGTGGGAAAATACCAAAGTCGCTTGAAAATTGCCGTACTTTGCGCACTTTTCAACTTCACAACAACAAGTTCTCAGGTGAGATTCCTCAAGGTATATGGACAGCTTTCAATTTGTCGAGCTTGATGTTGAGCAACAATTCTTTTTGGGGCAAACTACCAAGTGAACTTGCATGGAATATGTCAAGGGTGGAAATTAGTGACAACAAGTTCTCCGGTGAAATTCCTCTAGGAATTGCATCTTGGTCAAATTTGATTGTCCTTAAGGCCAACAACAATTTCTTTTCAGGCAAAATCCCAAAGGAGATAACAAATCTTTCTCGCCTTATTACTCTGTTTCTCGACGGTAATGAGTTTTCTGGTGAACTGCCATCTGAAATAATCTCATGGAGATCGTTAAATTCTTTAAATGTCTCCAATAACAAGCTTTCTGGTGAAATCCCTGCTGCGATTGGGTCTTTACCTGACCTGATTAACTTAGATTTATCAGAAAACCAATTCTCTGGTGAAATTCCTCCTGAAATTGGTAACCTGAAACTGGGTTCACTCAACTTGTCATGCAATCAACTTGTTGGGAGGATCCCAAATCAGTTAGATAACATTGCATTTGAAAACAGCTTTCTGAACAATGCTAATCTATGTGCAGATGATCCAGTTCTAAAGCTTCCAGATTGCTATTCCAAACTCCATAAGCCCAAAAAGTTGTCCTCTAAATTTCTTGCCATGATTCTAGCACTAGCCATCCTTGTTTCCCTAGTTATCCTTCTATTGACCTTGTTCCTAGTTAGAGACTATAGAAGGAAAAACCCTGGACGGAATCTAGCAACATGGAAGCTGACCTCGTTCCACAGATTGGATTTCACAGAAGCAAACATATTGTCCAATTTGATAGATAGTAATCTCATTGGAAGTGGTGGCTCGGGGAAGGTTTACCGAATTGGGATTAACCGTTCAGGAAAATCTGTTGCCGTGAAGAAAATTTGGAATAGTAAGAAACTGGATCACAAGCTTGAGAAAGAGTTCTTAGCAGAAGTTGAAATACTGGGCAACATTCGCCATTCCAACATAGTGAAGTTACTGTGTTGCATTTCCAGTGAAGATTCAAAGCTTCTGGTATACGATTACATGGAGAATCAGAGCCTTGATAGATGGCTTCATGGGAATAAAAGAAAGTCAATGTCAGGGATGAGTTCAGGTTACCATGCTGTGTTGGATTGGCCAAAAAGGTTGCAAATTGCTGTTGGAGCTGCTCAGGGGCTATGCTACATGCACCATGAGTGCCCTACACCAATCATCCATCGAGATGTGAAGTCTAGCAATATTTTGTTGGACTCTGAATTCAAAGCAAAAATTGCAGATTTTGGACTTGCTAAGATGCTAACTATGCATGCAAGTTCTCACACAATATCTGCGGTAGCAGGATCTTTTGGTTACCTCGCCCCAGGTAAAAATGCTCAAAACTTGGATGTTGTGTCCTTTTTTAATTTGAATCAGAAAAAGTGAAACATCCCTTTAACACAAAGTTGTCTTTGTATTACAGAGTACGCATATGCAACAAAAGTCAGTGCAAAGGTTGATGTTTACAGCTTCGGAGTGGTACTCCTGGAATTGGTGACAGGAAGAGAAGCCAATTGCGCGGATGAAAATATGGGCCTAGTAGAATGGGCGTGGCAGCACTTCTCTGAGGATAAGTCCATAGTTGAAATACTTGATCCAAAGGTAAAAGAATCATCCTGCTTGGAGGAAATGATAATGGTATACAAGGTAGGAATCGTCTGTACACGTGCATCGCCCTCTACCAGGCCTTCCATGAAGGAAGTTTTGCACGTCCTTAGTAGCTCTTGTGCTCCGGATGGCCATGGAGCCAAAAGCGTGGGAAGCGACTTTGACGTAGCGCCACTTCTTGGCACTGCCACTTATCTTTCCAGTTACAAGCAAAGTCAGAAGGGATCCGAGGAGGATGAATGCATAATTTACAATGTTTGATTTACTATAGAAGTGGTGACTCCGGTGCTATATGCACAACCATGTCGACGGGATTCCCAAGAGTGAGAGTCAGCTTGGCTCGTTATTTCCACACTACTGAAAATTAACATGGGATCATTGTCTACTTAATGTCCCAATTGACAAAAGGCCACATTTGTAGTCTAACTGCACATCTTGGCACCATACATTCTATTTTGCAATCCAGCTCTCTATGCAAACTTGACAATGATAATAAATTTATACCATTGTTAGTTTATATTTGAAGAGTTTGATGAAATTGTAAAGAATATTAGTTATCTTCTTAATTATCTTTTTAATATAAAATAATTCAATGTTCTCAAAATTAAAAAATATATATTTTTAATAATAAGATTAAATTTACTTACCATAAATCTTAAAAATTATATAAACTTTAAAAATTAATTTTGATCAATATATTAAATTATTTTATAATTTCAATAAATAAATAAATTTATCTTATTTTATTTCTTATATACACTAAACATAAAATAAAATAACAATTTAAAATAATCTTATTAGTAACATTATTTTATTTTACATTATTCATAAGCACAATGTCATAATCTTTCTGTCAACTTTCTAGTTCACAGCCGAAGTCAAAACACGTGATATTACATTATCATATATCAACGAGACGAGCAGAAAACAAAGGTAACTTGAAGGTCTGCACACGTCATTGGGCATGTGTGCGAGCATGTGCACACTCGTGCATGTGTGCGCACACGCACGTAAGTATGTGTGAGAGACTGATAGAGAAATGAGTTAAAAGTGCTAAACCAACTCGAACGCATTGATGCACTGTAGTACAAGTGTACAAAAGATTCGATGAGATCACCCCAAAAAAAAAAAATCTAAATGGTACAGTAACACCCCTGTTTGATTTACAATTTCTTGATGAGGAATGATTCATTCATAAATCGTGGCAAGAAGCTTTGCAGTAACACTCAAGCGGAGAAAAATGAGATAGAAGTCCTCAAAGCACCAGCAGCACTCCTATAGCTTCTTGGCTCCTCCAAGCTAAAAACCACACAGCACAACACACCTAAAACTAAAGCCAAACAACCCAGCTGTCCACCACACGGCCAAATGGGCTCCCACTCCAGTCACACTCGGTACATACCTGAAAAACCATAATATAAGCCAGCAATTAATGGGACACTTACCGAGGCGCTGGCCTACTCCTTTGGTAAGAGAGATTCTTCGAATGCATCATCTACAACAAATTATGCTGTTGACTTCAAACTCAACCTGCTATAAATTATAAAAAAAAAAACAGAAAGAGCAGCATAAAGAGATCATAATTTGCATAAACAAAACAGAAAATCCAAAAAAACACATGCCTCATCACTGGCTTCTGCAAAGTTTCTGACCTAGCTCCGTCTTGAGAATTTACAACCTTTCCAAGTGCGATATTTGGCTATACAACAAAAAAAAGGTGAAAAGGCAAGTTAGGCCGCCAGAAACTGTCAAAAGAAACCATAAATAAGAGGGAGGGTCATGTATTGAGCCTTAGGCACAAAACAGAATCAGGGTCTTAAGCACAGTTACTGGAAACATAGCACGTATGATGGTGGTGCAGGACCTGCCACCACATATGCACCAGTTAGATGGGTAAAGAATTAACATGATAAAAAGATTAGGGAAGACACAACCAGACAAAATTGCAATCATTAAATGAAAATGCTGAAAGATTTCTTTAAAAAGAACATAAGAGTCACGAAATCCTTGAAGCAATCGGAGACGAAGATTTTGTTCCCGCACCATTAACACTAAGTCATGACCATCTTTGTGCTCAAAGCCCATTTCTCAAGAATAAAATATAAAAACTAGCATTGACAGGCACAATGACCCAACTATAGAGAAAAAGAAAAGGAACAAAGAAGGTAACCTAAATAGAAAAACAAAGCAATAAGAGAAACAGCTAATGCAGAGTAAAGAAAACAAGTTATTAACTAATTAAAGTCCAAAAGTTAGACCCAAAACCTTTAATTCTTCAGATAAGCTGTTTTGGAAAACACCGCCTGTGTTCAGATGTCCATTTTCCAGAAGTGAATCCAAATTTGCACTGCAGACACCACCCTGCAAAGATCCCTGACTCTCACTATCTCCAGAACTTCCAGTATTCTCACTGCCATCTGCTACAATCTTTAACCCAAATACCTCAAACAGAAAAACTCACCTTGCAATTGATGTTCTGCGCATTGGCAATTGACCCAAATACACTTTCAGCAATTTCTACTACTGCTGTTTGATTACATGGTTTGAGTACCTCTCGATCAACATCAACACCACCTCCTTTCCGGTTTAAAATTCTCCCAGAAGATCCAGTCTCTGAATAATCCATGTAAGCTGATGTCAAATCCCCTGTTTTCTCTTGATTCAATCCAGTCTTGCATGTTTCCCTTATTTCAGAATGAGGAACTTCACGTGAAGAAAGCAACTCCTGCCTAAGAAAAGGTTCACCCATCTGTTCAGCTGACTCTACACTTCTAACTACTAACAAATTTTGTATATCTAAAGAAGTCTGATCGCCAATGGTGAGGGTCCCTCCATCAACAGTTCTAGCCTGCTGGACGGTAATCTCTACATTTCTTTTTTCACTGTCTACCAGCCCACTAGACAGTCTAACGATAGAATTGCTATCAACATCCCCAGCTGTCAGGCACTCTAATTTAAAAGCTTGATCATTGCTAATATGAGATGTTCTACCAGACCTGCTTGTACCACTTTCTGGAGAAACAGACTCCAGCCTCTGGGGGCTAATAGAGGGCCGCTTCTCTGGTTGGTCCAGTTTTTCATCCACTGTCTCATCATCATGTTTTCTCTTAATTTGTCTTTCCACAGACCCTGAACAGGACCTTGAAATATCTTCACAAGTTTTCCCAGTATGCTGGCTTGAATGCCTCGATGATCGAGGCCGTCTATATCCATCAGGGAAAACAAAGGTGGGGAGCTGCCTCCTACGAACATGAGAAACATAAATATCCATTCCTGGTTTCCAATACATGTACATGCTTATATCTTGTCTAAACTCATCAACTGTTCCACGTATGTCAAATTGTTGACCTTCTTGACCACTCACTCCCTCTTTCCTCTGTAAGCCCACGAAGAAAGCACAATGTGGGAACTGCTTGGATTTATCTACATACTCATTTGGGAAAGGATGGCACTGCAACATCCCATTTGTGTCCCGCTCTATCTGCAGAGTGACATGAAAACAATTGACTGAGCTATTGTCTTAAAAGTCTTCATAATGGTAAAATAGGCAACAAATGCCTCAAAGATCAATAGTGTACTCCAATAGAGAAGTTAACATTTACCTTCAACGTAAGCTGTCTAAGCCGTGACTCCACCCAGCCTTTCCATGACAGCAAATCATCAGCATCTGCTGAAACTATGTCGACTTGAAGATAGTTTTTGTATGCCTCAAAGAAAAGATAAGGCTCAAACAAAGCACTCCATTGATCTTTGTTTAGCTCAATCTCCTAAATAACATAAAAAAAACTACTAAGATAAGCCATCAATAGTTCAAACTTAAATGTAGGCAGCTGAAACTTAATAAAATAACCTTTGATTATCTCACCTCACATATTCTATTACCACATTGGAACTGTTCCATCATAACACGAAGAGTGCTTATAGAGACATTGTAACTGGAATTCATGCAAGGGTATGCAGGAGTTATTATTGGCATATGATGAAACCGATCCCGAGGATTCTTCCGAGGATGCCAAACAGGAAAGCCAAGTTCATCCTCTTCTATTGAACACAACATAACAGGGTTTGGCCACCTCCATTGAGTATATACTCTAAAAAATCGAGAAACCAGCATACTAGGTATTGCATTGGGATAAAGCTGGCAGACCCGCGCAACTAGAAGAGCCCAATTTACACCACCTAGGAATCCGGTAATCTATAAACAAGTAAAAACAGAAAATTAAGAACATAATATAAAAGCAAAGAAGCCTATGAAAAAAATAAATTAATACCAATCTTACATTGGAATAAACACCACGTCTTTTGGCCCAGAACTTCAGACATCTAAGTGTCATGTGGAAGTGCTATAATTATGTAAATGTAATGGATTAGAAGACTGCAGAATGAGAAAAATAATAAACAAGTATGGGTAGGAATACAAAATATTCACCTCAACATTAGGAACAAGTTTAAGGATTTGATCCGCAACCCTGCACCCATTAAGACTTCGAACAGTTTGCTCATCAACATCATGCAGCACAGACCCACATGAGATGTCAAGGTCCTGTTGATTAGTTAAAAAGGAACACAGTTATCAAACTAGACAGCAACTAAAGATGCACAGACTACTATAGACATTATGCTACAAATTTACATTTTCATCATATACATATATATCATAGGAACCAGATATTACACAGCAAATTTACACTTTTGTCATATAAATATATATATACCATAGAACTCTTTTGATAAAACTATGTAATGAAACGTTATGAAAATTCTATATCGGTCACTCCCTTCAGCAGTGGTAATCTCAAGTATCAACCAGAAATTCAGGAAAAATATTCAAAGACCCCTCCAACTCCTGGTCATATTCATTTTGAACCCCAAACTTATCAATTATCTAAATATGCCTTTTTGTTAACTTTTTTCCATTAACTTATTGAAACTATTGAGGAAAAAACTAATTGAAAAGATTGCTAAAAATACTCATATATTATCTAAGAGTACCACCAAGGTGAAAATGATTTTGACCATTACTTAAGAAGCAAGGATAATGCGATATTTTAAACAAAAGAATACCATATCAGCATACCACCCTATACATGTAAGCGATTATTAGTTATTACCAAACAAAATAGTTATAAGGTCTAGTTGACAACATATCAAGAAAACCAAGAAAAGATAAAGGGAGAGGCAAAAAGCTATCCTTATCATAGAATAGCTTGTAATGTTCTGCAATAAGTAAAGGACATCATTCTTGGCCTTCACTTCAGTATATGTGATGCAGTGGAGTCGACAAGAGTGTTTGATCCAAAAAATGATCAAAGGGATTACAAACTTACATCTGGAACAACCAAAAGAGATATACTTGCATAAAGAAGATCAATTGATATCCCTTGATACTTAAATTTCATTACTGGGACATGAGCATCTGGAACTGGTTGAAGTTCAGTGACTTCTTCCATCTCAGCCAATATATCATGCAAGACGATGAAGAAATCTTCCTGGTGAAATTCAAATTAAAAGTTAGTAAAACTCAAACTAAATGACAACCGAATTAATTGAAGGTAAACAAAAGAATTAGACAGATTAAAGACACCTCTCGGTTCGCATAAGATGGCCCAACACACAAAGTGTCTATGTCAGTCCCAGGTCCATGCACCTATTAACATAGCAACCCATTTCTTATCATCCAAATATAAACATTTAATTTGCTTATGAGCCAGACAAAATAATGACAACACTCTAAACAGAATTAACATCAATGACAGATAAACAGACAAAGCACATGCCCACCAAGAGAACTTAATAACTTCTTGCTTAAATTAAAAAGCACAATGAAACCAAAATATCATTGCTAGATTTTCATCAATGACCAAACACCAGATGACATTTTATAAAGTTTACCTTTATCTTCTGTAAACCTAGAGAACTTTGTACCCACAGGCTTTTTTCTTATCAAATTCATAAATCCTGCCATACAAGCTAAACGAGTATGCATGATTTCAAACAAATTTTCTATGATTGCAAAGAAATGTTAGAAATATTAAAACAACAGAGAATGAAATAGCAGTTATGATGAAGGAATTAGGAATTCATACTTACCCCTAATCGGTAAGATCCAAAAGTGAAAATGACAGCATTTGCTTCCTCCACCATTTGATCCGTGTAGCCCTTTTGACGAGTTAATTGCTTTACCCAAGCCTTTACAATCTAGAACAAAATTAATTCATTTTTCAGAAACACACCAAAAAAATAGGTTTGATAAAACATCTTTCACTGTCATATGAACATTGCTAAAGCCTTCCCAAAAATTAGTTTATTCTTTCAGCAAATTTCTACTAAAAAAAATCCCAAATAATTAATAGAAATTCAAGATGTATATAACCATGCAATCACCAAAACTTGCAAGCCAACTGGGAGCTTAGTCAATTCATAAGTCAACATGAAAGGAATATGAACCAACAGTCCCAAAACAGCATGGTACCAACAATTATTTACATTTTTCTTCATTTAACAAGCAAAAATTACTTGCTGATTACCTCAGTGATATGCCCAAGAACCTCCTCTCTTTTCGCGGCTTCTTCTTTGCTCTCGTAAAGCCCCGACTCTATCAAAAACTATAGACATAAAGAAAAAAAAATAGTGAATTAAATATCATTAAAAATATGCAATCCTTAAAAAAAGAGACTACTATTGCCTTCTCTAATTCCGTGTTCCGTTGAATATCAGCCTCACTTGGCCCTGAGAGGGATATCGGTTTCGTGATTCCGTACTTCTTCGGGGGCTGTGATTGATGCGGCGAAGATCCGTTAGGGCTCCGAGTATCCATCGGTTTCAGCGCTAAAAACGATCCCAAAAAACACGAAAGCCTGGATTTAACCCGAAATCGGTACAAATTCAAGCAACCGTAACGAGGATCGAACCAATTTAGAAAATCATAAGGTGATGAATTTTAGATTAGAACACAAATCGCGTGCGAAATCAGGGAAAATTGAAAAGTTTAAGAAGATTTTTGTTTTTGTTTTTCTTTTTCCTTTTTTTTTGCAGATGCAATTTTGAGAAAACAAAAAGAACAGATCGAAATCTAAATCGTTGAAAGGGACGAAAACTGTTTGGGAGATTCAACGAAGAAGGTCAAACACGGAATTTCAAGGAATAGACAAACAGATCTAAACACGATTTTTAAAGAACAAACCAAAAAGACGGGAGCGACAGAGAGACAAAGAGGGCACGAAAGATCGAGGGCGTAGGAAAATCGGAAGGAAAGAGAAGGATTTCCCTGTTTCGGTGGGCTAAGGTAGCGTTTGGTAGGGTTTCTTTTTTTTTGGGTTAGATGACTTGACTAAGAATAATTAGTTACTGGGATTTTTAGATTTTATTTAGTACTGCGTGAAACGCGCTTTTGTGTGAAGTTTCAAACGCCCGACCCAAACAAGGACATTGGGGGGATTTGTACAAATTATTTACTTCTTTAAATTTACCGGTCCGATTCGGTGGTTCGGTTTAGCTGATGACTTATCACGGGTTAAAGAGTAAGGTGGGTCTGGTTGGTGCTCCAAAAATCTTACATATGAATCTTCTGTATGCTATGAATTATCTTACAAATATAATGTCCACTATAAAATAACACATTACCAGCCAAATGTTTGAGGGGAAAAAAAACAAGATTTCATACACTATAAGGGAAGCAATATCAGTATTCACTCTTCAAACACCAAAGTACTTGATCTGCACACCTAGCTCTCCATTGTAAATGATATCAACTGCCCTCGAGTCCAACCCTGAACATGTTAGATACAAAAATAGATGAAAAACAAACAATTTCCTAGAAAATAGGAGGAAATGGATAAAAAGCAACATACCTGTGCAACTAAAGACCCTGATCAATTAGATAATCACCCAGCCTTTCCACAATCATGTTGCACTGACCAGCTGTTAGAGGCTCATCGTATACACCAATGATCAAGGCTTGGTTGGTCTTCTTAACAGTCGCACCACCACCGCCCTGAATTACACATAATTAAGTTGAGGGAAACTTAAAAAAGACCATACTACTAAACATATAGCACCAAAATGGAAACCAGATTGCCAATGCAAATAACCTTTATGGATAACAAGAAGAAGATTGATCATGATGCACCAGGATATATTACCTTCTTCCCTCTTATCAAAGCCCCTGGTTCACCCTGGATGACCATGTACTTTACACCGCCAAGGAATAAACCGGTTGGTGCAAGAGAACCAGGTTCAGCAAAATCATTCATGATGTCAGTTATTTCTTGAGGCGTAAACTGCAACACCAAGTACAGGCACACAGTTAAAATGCCACAGGGCATAGGATTCCACAAACAGCAGAGCCAACGGGTAGATGCAAGCACAAGACATATATAGCAAACAACACAAACACCAAGCGTGGTTTTGATGTTTGATGCCCTCTATAAATGAGAAAGTTGAAAGAAGCATGATTTTGATGCATATTTTTGAACATCCTAATTATGCTCTAGTTTAAAACCACTTACTGACTTTCCAAACAAAGAAAGAGCTTTTGCACACATATTTCAGGAGAAAACACAAAAAGCATGCGATCAATCACATTTTTCCCAAGAAGGAGCTGCAAAGTCCTGACTTTTCTACCTAATAGAATTTTGTTACAGAACAAACATGTTGGTTAAGAACGCACGATATGAAAAATGAACACGTTTGCAAATCATACTGCTATAAGCATGCAGCAAAGAAGTATAAATACAATGACGGAGCAGATTAATTAGAAAGTGAATTTAGAGTTACCATATTATAAGATGAATGATGCAGTCAGCTAAACTAGTCAAACCCACTGATGTAGGCCATCGTTCATACTAGCTATGGGTATGCTGTTCGCAGTCAGGGTTCCTAGCTAAATGCAACAACTCATGCAACTGTAATCTTCTTAAAAAATCAGAAAAAACCTTAGCTCATTTGAAACACAATAAATTTAAGAACCCTTTTGTCAAATTTGATGATAATTCAAATTAAACCCAATCATTTCAATTTTGACAACTAAAAAGTTGATTTGCAAGAAAATGATCACAAGCATAATCCAAACAAAGAACAAGTTTCACAACAAAAGAAAAACATCATAGCCAATAGCCCAATAACATTTTCACGAAAAAGAAAATAGACAAAACAGAAATTTAATCTAAGAATAAATGGAACGAAAAAGAAACAAGAACAGAAAGAAAATAGAACCGCAGGGAAGGTAGAGCTCTGGGCCCAAACGCTGCCGTCGTGGCCGATAATAGCAGCCGCGAAGAGATAAATGCCTTGGCCACCAATATCGCACATCAAGTGCTCGTCCACGTACTGTTGCCAAGACATATTTGCTTGATTTGTTTAGCTTCTGCTTTTGCTAACACTTGCTTTTAACTGATGAGGTTGTTCTTTCTATTCGGATTTTAATACAAGAGAACGAGGGTTCTGGCTGCAAAGAATAAAGAAGAGGAGGAGATATAGGAAAGGCAGGCAGGCGGGAACCCAGGTTGCGTGAGAATTAAGCTGCGCTAGACATTGCCCAACGTGGACTAAATATTGGGCGTGCTGTCACTTTTGGGGCCCACCCTACTTTCTTTTAAGCGTCGGTCCGACGATTCTCTTTGATAGCGCTTAATTTACATTAATTTACATTAACTATAAAAAAAAGGTCCATACCGAAAAAACAAACTAATGGAAAAGGGTGTATTCAACAGACTTCACATTAAACTCTGATTCTTTAATTTTTTTTTTAATTTGAATTTCTAGTCTTTATGTAATAACACGTGGCATATCAATATTAATATATTTGGCGTTTGTTAAAAAAAATACTAACATCGTTTGGGATATCTGGTGAAATCTAGATGAGCAGTCAACTTTGGTGAGGCCTAAAGCTTAACCTAGGAGAACATCTCCGCTCAAATCTATATGGGTCTCAAATCTCAAGTCTATAGAAACGAATTTTTTCTTTACTTCTTGCAGGCAAGTTATTACGTCGGGAAAGAAAACTAAACAATATTCAAAGAACAGAAGCAGAAATTTGTAGTTATGGGCTCTGTCGAAAAAATATGAAACGCATACAAACCCCAGGCCAGCATCTCTTCTCTAAACGCTGCCCAATCCAACTCCGTCAGAAGTTACGCCGTAACACTGATCACTGATGAAGATTGAATGAGAACATGTTAGAGAAAACAAAACGAGCAAAGGTCAAAGAAAAAAGATTCTACTCAGCCAAATGACCGATTACCTTGCTTCTGAGGGAGAATTCGTGTTGTCCCAGATCAAATCCTCGTAAAATCATATTCTCAAATTTGAGTTTAGAATACATGACCATCAATCCAAAGGCTTATCATTATTTTTTAAGTTTTTCAAAGAGGAAATATTCACGATAACTATATGTAAAACATAATCAAATCAGATTTGACACTTTTCCTCAAGATCTAACCCTTCTGACAAAACATGCTACCAAAACCTAAAATAGCGTCTAAAAAGATATGTTGCTAGAGCGTATCTGTAGCTTCCATAGTTGGGCTCTTCAAGATGACCAGAGTCTTCTGAAAGAAAAGCCTTGACCAGAGGATGAATTCAACAGATAACTCCTCCCTCTAAATGCCACACCGGCTGCCCTATCTTGTCGGACATGGGCATTTGTTGGATATCCAAGTCTTAGACGTGCAACAAGTTTATGCCTGCATCATGTGAGTCAAGGAATTCGCTTGTATATAGATTTATAAACATCCTAGTCCTACAGCAAAAAACAGCTACAATAACTACAAACTTCTGGAAAGAAAAATTGGAAAATCTTACAAAATATATACTAGATGTGAACTAATAATTAGATTAAAAGCAACATGAGAAACAACATCATGGCATTGCATTTAGCAAGCAAACATTGAAGGAGACTCAAAAATTACTAATGATCAATACACCTTTTTTCAGTTGAAAAAAGAAAGTATAACCTCTTAACATCACTTCCAATATTACCCTAAAGTAGAATAAAAATCTAACTAGATGTGAAATAATAAGGGAAAACTTTCACCTCTTATGTTATTTAGATGTCAAGAACTAAAACACTGACAACAAAACACAAAAGGATACACCCATGTTGGAGTTGCTAAAATGTTTCTTCCCCCAGCAAGAGGATGCAGCACTGTCAAGAAGTAGTATATATGCCCGGCAATGATCCCCATAAGGTCTGGAACAAGAGGGGAACCAAAAATAACATCCAAAGCAAGCATTGCCCATGGTAGATAAAAGGCCTGTGTTCCAGCAGTAATGTATAAGCATTAACACTAGCGGACCCCAAACAAGTAACAATAAGTAAGACCACTACAACATAATTCAGGCACAACCATAACAAAGAAATGTAACTATGTGTACCTTAAGTGCTACAAGCCCATATATATTGACTTGGGCGTTAGGAAACTCTCTACTCCAGATGTATAGGAGCATGAATACCAGGGAAACCCCAAGAAATGCACTCCATAACATAGGGATGGCTGATAATGCCTAAACACACAGAACGAAGAAACTAATGGTAGTATATTCCATATAAGAGATACTCTAAGTCTCTAACATTGAAATCTATAAACTCATTCACGAAATTATAAGAAGTTCTAACTTCTACAAGACCATGTAGAAGATGAACTGAAAAGTTGTACTTCCAATACACACCAGCAACGAAAGAGCTCCAAAAATCATCATCCAGAGAAAATCTGCCGTCCGCCTTTCAAATGGCCCCTTCTCCAGCTGAGCCCCATATCTAGCTCTATAATAGCAGATTAACAGGTAAAGAAAGGGCAAAACCAAATATGTTGTCATAGGTAGTAATACGTTCATGACAACATTCACGATATTAGTCCTGACAAGCTTCTATTCTAGATACTTACATCATCAGAAGACGAATTCCAAAATTTACAGAGAAGTTCCCAAGGAAAAAGAAATTTGTAAGAAGCCTCCAAACCTAAAAACAAAAGATTCAGTAGTCTAAAAAAGGGCAACAGTTTAAGTATATTTAAACAAGACATAGCTATGTAACACATAGTAATAAATAACAATCATTCAAACAATTGGACAGAAGTGAACAAGACTTGTCATAATATCATTGTAAACGTGCTTTCACTGATTACACCCAAGGCACCTGAAAGTCTGAAAATACTAATTTATGGATTAATGCAATATGTTCAAGTCGATATAGTCCCAAATGCAAAGCTGCGGTGGCCACCACACATATAGTCCCATAAGCTTTGGTGATCGGTGGCAGAGATTTGTAAAATCTGAAAAACAGTAAGGAATAAGTTATGGCACCGACATCAGCACAAGCAGAACAAAGAGAGGATCTGTAAAGAAACAAAAATTGCAAGAACGATTGGTTCATCTGAAAAAAAAAAAGAATAAAGAATAACAGAACGGAAAGTTGCACGGCTCTTGGCTAGCAAATTTAATTATTTACAGTTAAAACTTTACTTTCGCTTGATCCCTGTTTGGATGCCAAGAAGATGTGGGAAAATAGGGAACTAAAAATCTCAGATAAATGTAAGGTAACCCATCCAGAAAAACCTATATCGCCGGGACGAAAAAGAAAAGGACAAAATTCTGAGAAATCATGCTGGAAACTAATAACAATGACAACAAAAGGTTCGAATAATGTGAAACTGTAACATAAATGTAGCAAAGAAATGAAAAAAAAAAAAAAACGCAAAATCTTACTCTGCTGGAGACGACATTTTACGAAATTAAAGCTCTGATTCAACAATCTTTTCTCCCAAAGGTTCTGCGCTACTTCTTATGAAGGTGAGGGGCTTCAAGAAACGTGAGTCAGGTGCATGGTGCGTGATACTTAAGTTGCCACGGAGGTCGTTAACGTTTGTGACGGACAAATCAAGTATAGCTATGCAGGCCATCTTTTTATCTTTTATTTGTGATTATTGGTCTGTCATTGAAATTCCGGAAAATGTCATGTTATAAATCTTGGTTTTAATTGAAACGACGGCGTGAGAGGCCTTGCTTGGAGGAAAAGATTCGGTGCCGCCTTCTGAACGGGTCTACTGAGGTGGCGTATCGAAAAATTAAAGGTGACAACTAATGGGTCCAATAAGGAGGTGCCAAATCATACTCCAGATTCTCGCAATGCCAACGTGTCCTAGGCACGGCCCATCTGGATTGGGTTGACAATGGGCCAAACAACCAAAAGGATAAAATAACAACGAATCATAGAAATTTAAATGCTACCATAAAAGTTTTAAATTCGAATTTTGTTATTTTTTTTATAAACGATATGTAAATTTAATATAAATTTTTTTAATATTTACATTTTATCTTGTCCTAAAATGAAAAAATTTCCTCTGATCTTAAATTTTTTTTTGACAAAAAAAAAAACAAATGAATTACATGCAAAACAAGGATTCATAGGGTCAAGAACCAGAACGTTTAACCTGAAACCATCTTTGCACAATCATCCTCACAAAAAGAATTTAGAGGAACAAATGTATCTTAAGCTCTATAGATGCCAGATGGGTCACCATTCTGAACAATCCATGGGTGCACAAGAAGCTTATGTAGTGGCAGGCGCTGGGAAGTATCCTTGACAAGCATCTGTAAGTAAAGCTTCAGGATATGCCATGATGGAACGTTGTTGATATATGTATATTGCAAGTCACAAAAGCAACAAAAAATACCTCACTAATTAGGTCCTTAGCTGCAGATGAAACTATTGGTTTAGGAGGGAACTTCAGATCCACTTGAACAATCCTGTGGACGGGGAAAAGTTATGATACCAGAAATAAAAAGACGAACTAACAACATTATGACGTAACCTACTATAACAGGTTGAATTCCCTAACGGATCACCATTTGAAAACAGAACTTTAACCTTGTTAAAATGCAATGTCATAACTCAAAATTGAAAAGTAACCGGAAGTTTTGATCATGTTCTCTGGTTTTGCAGATCACAGTTACCTTCTATAAGTGTCGGAGTGTTAAGGAGGGACTCCGTAAAGAAACTCATAGCACAACACACCAAGGCTCCAGATATCTACACTAGCATCATGCTCTACGCTTTCAACTGTGGAGAACATAAAAAATAATGCAAAACTTAGTCTTGTCTTATGCTTACTGTTTTGAATTCCTATGAAGTTTCATCTTTTGACACAAAGGGATATAATTTTAACATAGAACTCCTCGATAATGAACAAGCTAAACCAGTAATGAACAAGCAAAACTCATGGAGCATTACATTTAATCCCTTAGTTCTAATTGTTTACTACGTACCCATTTCAGGAGGGAGATAATCAAGTGTACCACACATAGTCCGCCTGCGGTTAAATGTGTGCACTGACGATCTGCAATCTTGAGTTCACCCTGACAAAGGAATCCCAATTGGCAAGAATAGTATTATAAGACTTTTATTTAATAAACCAAACAAAAAGTACAGCCATAGATTAGGAATCACCTGTGCACCAATTAACAGGTTTTCAGGTTTGATGTCTCTCTGTATTACATGCTTTCCATGACAATAAATGAGTGCCCGAGCTAAAGATGCAACATACTGCAACAAACAACATAAGCATTCAAACCAAACATCCAATTAGTTCTTTTTTCTTTTGTCAATATACATCCATGTATAAATTCATTAAGCGCATTACAAACTATCACAAGAATCGGCGGGAAAAAAAAAAAAGAAAACTCACAGTTGCTGCACGCCTTTCTCTGAAGTATTTACATTTTTTGCAGGTCTTTGTAAAGTTCACCCTTGGCTGCATACTCCAGTATCAGATAAACACGTTTCTGCAAAAGTTGTATTCAGAAAAACACGTGTTAATTCATCCAGAACATTTCAATTACCTACATACATCGAAGCATCACTATAGGCTATACCTGATCATAGAAATAACCATAAAGCCTCAATATATTGGGATGGCGCAGGTGACTTTGAATTTCCACTTCACGGCGTAGCTGATGTTCAACTTGAGACTGTTGTAGTTGGCTTTTAAAAAGCACCTTGAGTGCCACAATCTGATTGCTCTGCTTCAAAAGTACATATGGATCAGCCTAGTACTATAATTACAGATAATGGTGTTATATAATATGTCAAAGTTTGAAAGTCCATTATAGATAATAAAGAAACTCTTATTTTCTTCAATTTTCCTCACATTTGTTAGCAAACAAAAGCGTTGAGGGAAAAAAAAGAAAAAAGAAAAAGGAATCGAAAGAAACGGACCCTCTTTTCTCTAGCTAAATAAACATGACCAAACTTTCCTCGTCCAAGAGGCTTTCCAATGTCGAAATCACTAAGCGTCCATCTCTTCTTTTCAGCTGTTGAAGCCTCTAATTAAAAGCTGTCAAAATGGATATCAACGAATTAAACCATAATTTACGAAAATCCCCAACATTGTCTCAAAACCAAATGCCAAAATCATTGACGTTTCCAATTTTTCAAAATCAGCTAATCCTAGTTACCGAAGGGTACGAACCAGACAGAATTGTCAAAATTCGCAAATCTGCCATTAGAACCCTAGAAAATCAATCCCATTCGAAAATTGAAACTTTTTATACGGAGAAAACCATTCTCAGAACTTTCCGTCCTCTATAAATGAAATTAAACTGAAAATTGGGCTTTGTTTGGTTCTTGAAGGATGAAATCATGAAAAAGAAAAATTGCTACAATTTTCCCAAGAAAAGCAGCGAAAACAAAATTAAAAAAAAGAAACCTTCTCTTGTTGTTGGGGGTGCGTGTCAGCGATCGCCATTTTTTGAGAGAGTAAAAAAGAGACCAAGGCTGATTTAAGTATTATTATTTGATGGAGAAGGCGAGAGAAGACAAAAAGAGAAGAGGCTAATGGAGGGATCGGGGGAACCCCACTGGCAACGGTCCAATTATTACGGTGCGCCACGTGGAACTCTTTTCAAAATTTTCAGATCTGAAGAGATGACCGGCTCTCTGGTGAGAGGAGAGGTTAGAGTCACATGCCTGTCATGTTGGCCAGTTCATGTCTCACGGCTATGGGCTTGTTTGTTACAAGTCTTGGGCTAAATGAGGCCCAATTCAGAGTTTTTCTAAGGCACCAGGTAAGTCAAGTGTAACTCTGGATCCTATCCGTTGGGAACATATGAGTGGGCCCAATGACTATGATCTATTAAAATAGATGGCCAAGGCTTTTGTCTAAACAGTAGTGTTAAAGAATTTAGCTCAATGATTAATGAGGAACTTTTACCGCGTGGGCCGTGTCACCGGTATTCTTTTTGAATAGGTTAAAATATTAAAGTAGCCTGAATTTTATTATTTTATTATATTTAAATAAGTTTTTATTTTTATTTATTAAATAAGTTCTTATTTAAAATAAATAAATTATTTATATTAATAATATAAATTAAAAATTAAAAATATAAAAATTTATCAAAATAATGTGATAAAGTTTAAAAATTTTTATTATTTTAATTTTTTGAATAATATATATCCTAAAATTTTAATATAAAAAATAAAAAGATTGATTTGAATGATCAAAATTTTTTTTATTATTTGAATTTGAATCTAATAAAAAATTATAAAAATATATTTTTTTATAAATTCATTAAACTTGCCTGATTTAAATCGAATAAAAAATATACATAATAAAAATCAACGTCACTTTGCTACTAAATAAAAAACATATGTTGATTTGGGTTTGGATCCAAAAATCTGTCCTCGAAATGGTTGGTGCTGTCCAGTCCTGTGACATACTCATTCCATTCATTTCTGCATTTTCGACTTTCTAGTCGTGGATTTTACTGTCTTGTTCATAATTTAATTTTAATTAAATTAATGATTTAATTTAATTAATTTAATTAATAAATTGATTATCAAATTAATTTTGACTATTAATAAAAATAACTTTTAAAAAATTTTAAATTTTGATTAATTAAATTGAAAAATTAAATTAATTAAACAATCAAAATTTTAATTAAAATAATATAATTTAAATATAAAATAAAAATATATACAATAAATCATTTAATTTTATAAATTATTAAAATTTTTAACATAATATTTTGATATTTAAATAATTTATTAGACAATTTTATTTAATTTATTTAAAATATAAAAAATTAAAAATTAAAAATATAAATTAATATAAATGTATTTATTATTTAATTAATAAAAAAATAACGAATAGAACAAATTCAATTTAATTTTTAAATTTTATAAATTTGATTTAATTAATAAAAATAAAATACTTTAATTCAATTAATTTAATTTAAAATTAAGCGAATAATGAACATCACTACCCCTACTGAATACCTCGAAACGCTTTTATCAAACAGAAAGGATCCATTACTGAACAGGCCCAACCGAGGGTGGAGAAGCAGACGTCACATCCTCATCAACTACCACCCATGCAAAGCTGCTCAACCAAACACGCGCCGGACCCAACCGTACCAACCTTTCAGTCTATTCTAGACTAGATAGTATGTTTGCCCCTCACCTCTACAGCCATCACGAGAGATTTGCCTTCGCCTCCCGCCACGTATACCTTCCCCTCACCTTCCTATAATGCCCCCCCTTACATGCCTCTCTGTACCTGCGCAAACCTTCTTTCATTTTCTCGCTTTCTTGGCCATTTTTTATTTGTTAATATATTCGTTGTACGATCAGGGCCGTTCATCATGTCGAATGATAAAAAAAACCGATAACTCAGCAGCTCTATAAGTCAGCTCCATCTTCTCGCCAGGCGGCTAAGTTTTTGACTGCGACCACACTTGGTGCAACGCTGCTTTTCTTGTCAGGGTTAACCATGACCGGGAGAGTGATTGCCCTGATCATGGCCACACCACTTATGGTCCTGTTCAGTCCAATTTTAGTCCCCACTGGGATAGTCATCTTCCTGGTGATTACCGGGTTGTTGTTTTCGGGTGGGTGTGGCGTGGCGGCGATCACGGCTTTATCGTGGATATATTACTACGTGCAAGTGAAGCATCCACCAGGAGCGGATCAGCTGGATTATTCAAGGAAAAAGCTTGCAAGTACGGCTAGGGACATGACGGAGAAGGCTAAGGAGTATGGATAATGTGTGCAGCACAAGGCTCAGGAAGTTGCTCAAGGCCAAGGATCTTGAATTGTAGTGTCTAGATTAGGGCTTGGTTTGGGTTAAAGTCTGTTGGTTCTTTAAGGTGGTGGTTGGTGTTGTCTTTGTTCGGTGTTTTTGATCAATTTGCATGCATGCATCATAAATCATGTGTTTTTAGGCTTTGTAAATTGTAATTGTAACAGTTGCAGCTCAGAATCTCGTTTCTTTGGAAATAAGTTTCTCTTTGTCTTAAGCAACAAGGTCTAGTTTCACAGTCATGAGTTCTATGATGCAAAAACCAGGGGTGTTAGTTTCTACTTCCGTCCTCCAAGATCTCCAAAGTGAGCGAGGATACCGGTTCATGTCAAAATCAGTAGCGGTGAAAATGCGGAACCTAGGATTATTGGACACGTAGATCAGTATTCGTTCTTTTCTTATTGGGCATTAGGCCATCAGCTGATCTGGTTTGGTACCCACCAATATTTGGTCGTGTTTTTTGGGTTAGATTTCAAGCCCGCTTTAATGAAATCTGGGTATTAAAATGCCAGACCCGTTCTAAGACCGAAAGAAAAGCTTCTTTTAGTTTGTCTCCACGTTTAGAACTAGAAAGCTTATCAAGAGACGAAAGCCTATCATGAATTAAGGATGATATAAGTGGTTTGGATCATACCCTGTGAGGAGACTTCGTTTCTGGACATTATACTCAGAGAAGAAAGAAACTATACAATTATAACCTACAGGCTACAAACCTAAACAGATGAAAAACATTTGCTGCATTTGAGCATAGTCTTCTGAAAACATGAACAGTGATTTGAACCAAATGTTTGGCTTTCCCAAAAGTTGCTGCAGCTAAATTTCTGAAAATTTTGTTACAGAAACACCTCTCTATACATAACAATTAGCAAATGCTCTACAGTGAGAAAATGGTAGCAATAATACAAGTACTATGTATCTTAAAAACAAGTCTCAAGAGGAGGAATAATCAATGCCAATCCTAAACACAGCGAGGCAAAGACAACTAGCCGGAAACTAAACATTTTCGTCTTAAATTCTATGACAAGAGAACAGCACCTAATGAGAATCTAGATCAGGTCACTGCACACAAAAAGCTGAACCAGATCATAGAATTGCAACTTGCAGCAGCTTCCTGGTGGCTCTCGTTGATGGACTTCTGGGAATTTTACTTCCACTGAATGGGTGTGGTTCTAAGGTCAGGACTGGAAAATTGCACAGATCTGGGGATGTCAGGTTAAGAATACTCGTCCCTTCTAGTTCCAAAATTGTTATGGAGCCTGTGGAAAAGAAAGTTCCTACTTTAGCTTCAGGAGGTGAAAGCATGCCTCCTGGTGATTGCGACTCTGAAAGAGCAAGTAATTTGAAAGAAAAAGAATAAATTTCTTTGGAAGAACAACCACAGGAGAGGCGGAGTACTCGTCTTGAAAGGCTGGGGAGTCGTAAACCTGACAAAGAATAATTAGATTTTGCTGCTGATAAGGATTTGGCCAAGATTGTCTTTCATTACTTCAATCTTTTGTCATCAGAAAACCAGCAGGCAAAGATTCTGATGATGTTAATTGTTCTATCTCATGTGCTGGTCAAGCTAATTCCTTGGATATAGAATGTAGAGATATTGCTAATTTTGTAAGAGAAACTTGAAACAATTATTGTACTTAAACTATATGGGTCACTTTCTTTTGGAACATGATGGAAGTAGAAGCCTTGTGCATCCAGATGCGCATGTCAAATTCCTCCAGTTGGAGAAGTTGACAGGGCATTAAGGACAGGATATATAGGACTCCTGAATGTAGTCTTTTTTCTTGCTGAGTTGTATTACGACATTCCAATTCCTCCATGATTTGTATTGGACTCAGTTCTCCTTGTGCATTGAAGATATTGTACCAGTGGCACTTGGAAGGCACATCAAGGCTCTAGTTTTATCCATGATTCAAGTTGAGACTTCTGGTGCTGATCCTGCAAGTAGTTTTGTTTTGAGCATCAACTAGAGAAGATATTTGGTTTGTTTACGGAACAGGGTACCTTATGGCCTGAGATCTGCTGTTTGCCTTAGATTAAGAATTCAGAAGTATCTGAGAGCAGTTTATATGGGTAACATATGTTTTCTTAGTTTGTTATTTAAGAACTCTAAACTCATGGAATCTTTAATATGTAACCTTTAGCATATGATAATTAGGCAATTTGTACTGCCTACCCTTTGACTCGTAATAATAGAACTAAAAGTGTCTTTCCTTTTTACAAAATTCTAATAGTTGATAGCTCGACTCAAGTATCTTCACCAGTATATTGTCTCCCTGGAAAGAAATGGCAAACTGGATATACTTGAAGCAATAAATGAGAGGATCCGAAAGCGGTTTAAGAATCCAAAATTGTTGAATGGTAATTGGGCCAAAGTTTGCAGGCATGCCTCTGTTGCTTGGTGTCAATCTCTTATAATTGGCTCACTCCATTCCAATCTGGATTCCAAAATGAGGTTCAACTCTTACCCAATATAGAGCTGTGGAAAGGCAGCCAGCAGCTTTGTATTGATCTGCAGTCACATGAAATATGAGCTCACCATTTGAGGACTCAACTCATTTGGAAAGTCTTCAAAAAAAAATGGAACCCACTTTGGCAAAAATTAATATATCATGATAAAGAAAGCTTCTGATGGAGATTTGGAGACTGCCAACTCTTTGCTTGTTCATATAATTTCTATCAGTAGAGCGCCTGTGTAATGCTTCCATCTGATGTCAACCTTTCTTTGGTACCGTCTCGACTATTAAAAGAAAAGCAATTTCCATCAAGCATGGAAGGGGTTGAAATTCTTGATCTAAGCATTCAAAGGAAGCTTTATGTTTTACCATTTCGACGCCCCATGGCAACTTTCACCAATCCTCAATAGCCTCTTATGAATTTTCAGCTGTTGGTAGCGGCAAGGACGCAGCAATTCATAGGGGAGGTGGTGAAGCAGAGGCTGCTCCAGTGACATCAGGGCTACCTGCTCTAGTGTCTGAGGGTGATAGCAGACATTCCATCAGTCCACTTGTGCCTCCACAACTTCATCCTTGTAACAACAATGAAGGGGAAAGGATCACGCTGCACACGAAGTAGAAAATCCTAACAAAGGCTGATTTTGTATAGCGGGCTGAGAATTTGAGACCATGTTAGAGCTTTGATGTATAAAAAGTTGATAACGGTCGTCATCGAGTTGGGTACAGCATTACCATTTAGGTTTGGGCCGAACTTGAACTTGGCCCTACATTTGCTTCTAGGCGTTGGTTCTTGTCGTCATTTTGTAGCCCAAATCAACAGAAACAATTAATTGCGATAATGTTGCCAAATAGTGTAGGAATCACTTGCTAATCCACACCCAAAGGCATCAACAAAATGGGTAGCAGAGCTTTGCCGATACTCAGCAGCTTCAAGTTTAAAACCCGCTTGTCTTTTGCTTCTTCTTCTTCGTATCCGTTATTTCTTATTAACAATAATCCCAAAATCCGAAACTTCTCTATTAAAACGAGGTCGTCTTTGCAGCCACCGGATGTGCTTCGTTTGGCTGAAACAGCTCGTATTTCACTCGCCCCAAATGAGGTTTCTTTCATTATTTTCTTCCATTTTTATTCGCTTATCTTTTGATATGCTCAACACTTTTTTCTTTGGTTTCAGGTTGAAGAATCCGCTCCCAAAATTCGACAAGTGATAGAATGGTAATTTTCTGCTCAGAACCAAATTCAATTCAAACCAATTAGTATTTGATAATAATTTGGAGATGCCTCCACAAAATGAATCCTGGGTTTGGGTTTCTGTTAGGGGTTTTAGCTGTCATTGTTCATCAGGTTATCCCATGATTCTTATAAAGATAAAAACTTTGGAAATATTGTATGGTTAGAACTTATAAGAATGTACTTTACTCAATGATTATAATTGCCATTACATTAGCAAGAGGATGTAATTCTAATCACATTACAACTTGAAAGTCGTAAAAGTAACAGCTAAATTTTCCCTTTGGTTTTTGGGTTCTGTATTTCAGGTTTGGGCAACTTCAATCTGTTGATCTTGACAGTGTCGAGCCTGCTATTAGAGCTGGTACTTAGAACTCTCATTTATATAAATTGGTATTTCCTTGTTAATTGGTGGTTCCGTTGTGCTATACATTTGTGATATGTGTTCGTAGCGGGAGTAAAACATATTGTTGCATCAAAACTGATAATATAATTGAGGCGTTTTCTAGCATATCAATGATATTTTTTAAACAGTTGCTTGATTGCCTATCACTTTTGTATTTGACCTATGCTAAGTGATAATCCTGCTCTATAACTAGATATTAAGCTCTAACAAGTTTTTAACGATGTTTTATTTACAGACACTGAAGGTGATAATTTGCGTGAAGATGTCCCTGAAGCATTTGAGAATAAGTGAGATGAAAATAGTTTGCTAACCATGCACTGTAGGTTCTGTGTTGAATATTGCAATAGGTTATATACAATTGGTGTTTTGATTTTAAATGTTTTTCAACAGGGAAGCACTTTTAGCATCTGTTCCAAGCTATGAGGAGCCATATATCAAAGTTCCTAAAGTATTGAACAAGGAGTAGCATTTGGGTACCATGTTATTCTCCTTTTAGTTCCCAAAGATTTTCATCTATGAAAGTGACCTCAGATTCTCATCTAGAGTACTTTGGAATAGTGTCTCTCCATATAACATTCATGCTCTGATATTTGTAAAGTTTGTCAATGAACAGGATGCAGAAGTTATAGAAGCCATTCCTGCGCTTAGAAAAAAGGAGGCATCTCGATTGTACGGGATAATCGACTAACATGAGTAAGGAAACTTTCTCGTTCAGTAACCAAGGCCATTTGGATTTGGTGCAACAAATTCTTGTAGCCTTGTTCTAGTTCAAGTTTTTCTTAATTTGAGGTCCGCTGGGCAACTTTTTTGTATCTGACTCTACCTCAATTTTGTTGCAAGTTTAATTTTTCCAGCTCGTAATCTGGAATGTTAGTGTTACACAGGCTGGCTAGACACTGCAACTTTGGCAGAAGTTCCCACTGGACAGTTTTATCTAGTTTAAGTTGCCGACAGAATAAAATCAAGTAAAATTTGCGATAAGATTAAGTACTCCTAGGGAAAAGGATAGAATAAATGATAGTTTTATAAGCATTGCTGAATGATTAATTTGCAAGGTTCCAGTTGCCAATTAATCCTGCTGGAACAAGCTGAACACGAAATAAATATACAAATGAATTATCTAAAACATTATACCCAAAGTTGCTATTTACATTGGAACTCCCAAAATTAAAGAAAATTCTTTAAGAACTTGGTAAGAATGCATGCCCTTATCCAATATTTTTCTTTCGATTTTTTTTTTCTCCTTTGTTTCTATTTCTACATTTGTGTCAAGAACTCCCTAGTTACTCTCAAATTACATACAAAATAGAACAGTAAAAAACTGAACAAAAGAACCTTGTTAACGTGTAGGTATCTCTTTTGACATGATGGTCATGACTGCCAAAATAGCTCAAAATCATTACTATACAATGAGCGGTCTTGAATCTCTAGATTCGCAACATGCCAATTAATAAGTTGTGACTGAAAAAGTTTACACAAAACCAATCCAGCTGGAAAAATCCACCATTCACTTTCATCCCTGCATCCAAAACCACACCAAGCAGATACCACCAATGTTAAGCAAGAATGGTATCACAGTAAAATTTACTTGGCACCTAAAACATCAACTTACATGTTAATATTCCATGGCTGAAGGTTCGGAATCCTTTTACTTGATAACGACCGACTGTTATAGTGAATATACCCACATAGAAATGCAACACCCTGGTGAAAGATGAGATATGATTTACCATACTAGAAGCAAAAAACAGGCTACTACTTGAAGCAACTAAAGAATAATACAAAGGATACTAGAGTGGAAGGGAAAAAGAAATAGTTCTTGCCATCAAATACTCCTTGGCAGGAGAGAAATGCGATGGGAGGAAAAAAAATTTCTTGTGCCTACGAGGTGGGGAATGGGGGGGGTGGGGGAATAATGCTATTTAGATTCACCAATATTCCTTTTGTAGGTTAATTACTTCCCAAATTAATGTTTTAATAGTTAAGGATTTTTTCCAAAATTGACGACTATAATTTGTATCTTCGTCCATACTCTCTTATATCTCCCCTTGACCAGACCCCTATTTCTTCTGGCCTACCAACATTTAATTTTTACCTCTTTACTTTTCACAAGCTCCTTCCTCTCCCACTTCTCTATCCTACTAAGGACAATTTGAATGAAAATATTAAATCTGCTTAACTGTTGAGATGTGCCATTAATCAAAGCCAGAGAACACAGGAATCCAATACCAGTTCTTCTTTGTCATAGGAATTGTACGAAAATAAGACCAAAACAAAAAGCAATGGTTATCAAGAGAAATAGGGATTAAAAGTTCCAAGAACTTACAACATTAATCAAGGATGTTATGTTCCACAACGCATAGAAACGTGCTAGACCTGCAGAACGCCTTGGTCCCTGACTGAATAAAGCATTTATGCCAGCAGGAAAAGGAAGAAGAATGCCAAGTGGTAAAATAAACCAAACCAGAAAGACATTCGCCAATGATATTGAATACAACTGGAGGAACGTAAGCAACACTAAGCTAAAATCCCCTAAAAGTAGCATCGATATGACTAAGCCAACAAGATCCTGCAATCATAAACAAGGTGTTACGTGAAAGATTTAAATTTGTTGATAATTTACAAGTCAAAAATAATGTAACTCCTTAAATTCATGCAAGATACCTGGTGACCAACAGGCTTAGTATTGTGTACTATGAAAGAGAGAAGGTAAAACATATCTCTCTTCTCTTTAAGCATTTGTAAGTTGTTAGTATCTATAAGCCCTCTACAACTCCTCTTCCGCCTTGTAAAACCTTCACTGCTTTGGTGACCTTGAGTTAAAAGTGCATTTTCGCTTTGATAACCAGATTGATTTTGCATGTTTGGGGTCTTCACCCTGAAGCAAACATGAAAGTAACTAAGTTAAATTCCATATAATCAGGCATCAAATGATTCCATAATATTGATATACACACACATATATTTATGATATATAAAACTCAACAATTTGAATTCTTTCCATCAGACAATACAAACTCAAATGACTCTTTAACTTTATTTCCTTGGGCTTCTGTCTAATACTCCCCACTGGTCATCCTATTCCTGAGGAGGGATATATTTCTATTTATTCACCCAATCCCTGCTCAAGATATGCCAACATGCCTTTGGTACCAATCTAGCAATTCGTGTCAACGTGTCATGTAAAATACTATATTCGTATCGTGTTTGACACGAAATCGCATGTCACAGTTCGTATCAACACAAAAACAAAAAACACAATTTTTTGATTTTATTAAAGCTATTTATGGTTTTTCTAAAATTTTAAGTTGTGTTATCTCCATGTCTTTTATTCGTATCGTTTTCGTATTGTGTCACCATATCATGTTTCAAATTGCCAGATCATGGAACAAAATGTCCAAGTTCAAACAAATAATGGTGCACAACACATGCACACACACACACATTACCGTGAAAGTAGCTCAGTTCTGACTCCTCCATCGGTATTTCCAAAGGATATAGGTTCACTTTCCTCTTCAACAGAATGCACCAAAAGTCCATAATGGCAATAACCTGCAGGTGCAGCCTGAAACCAAGCAAGATCAATGCGTACACCATGGATTCTCAAAGCAGGATTAGCATGCGTTACAAGCCATCGTAGAACAGGTCGAAAAGTTACTTTCAGCCGTCCACAACAAACCAAGCGTAATTGTGCGTTCAAACCAGCCACCAGTCGATACCAAGTAGTAGGGGGCACTAACTGTAGAAGGTATAACAATAAACAGAACTTCATTACAACTAAAATTTGGAAGATGAACCCATGCTTTCACCAATTAGATGGCTAAAATATGAGAACTGACCTGGCTCATAATACTGGTAAGAATGTTATCATTTTGAAGGGAAAATGGAGCCATGTAACTTCCATCACCTCCAAAAATTATAGCCATAGGAAACCTTTGAGGGAGGCGAGGAGGAAGGTCTGTTCTCTTTTCATCTCCACCAAGGAAGAAGTCCACATAAGCCACCATTAAATCAGAAGTTGCAGATACCTACAGTGACCAAATACCAGAATTTGAAGTTTGAAGCAAAATCCAAGAATTATGCTTTAACAGCTCTTGAATCATGATTAAAAAACCGTTCAAACCGGTAAATATAGAATTAACATGTAAATCCCAAAAAGTTTAAACTGTAAGACATGTTTTCATGTGTTCTGTTTGTTTTTTAGCCTTTTTGACTCAAGCAACTATAATACCAGATATGGCATTAGCTCAACCAATGATGTACTTTGGGCCTAGGGTAACCATTTTCACCTGCAAAAAATGTAGCATTCATCTACTATGTATTACAGGAGCCATTTAATCAGTCCTTTAATTTGGTTTCTTTTTTCTTGAACATGTTTAGAAAACAAACTGATCAGAGAACTTAAAAATCTCCAGAGTTAATGAGAACTTCAGGATATTACATAAGATTAGATAGGAAGAATATCTATTCTGCCTTTTTAAGTGATAAGCATCAAAACGAGAGCATGAAAATATTTAACAATCAAACTAGAAAGAGTTCAGTGCATAAAAGGGATCTCTCTGAGTCCTCGGACATGTCAAAATGGTTTACAAAAGATGATGATTAGAAAAGCAGAAGATGGAGCAAAAATAACTACAAGATGTAAACCAAGTAAAATGAAGCCATAATAGCGAACAAATTAAACCAAGAGTAAAAGTAAATAGAAACCTTAAGCCCCTCATAGAGAGCCCGCGAACGGCAAGAACGTAAGCAAGCATGGTCATATTCTGATCGTACAAACTCACGTAATCGTTGCAATCTCATTCTTCGGCGCCATTGCTGCCATGACCAAGCAAGAGGATACGCAAGAATACAAAGAACGGTATAAATTGCACCTTCCCACCATTGGTAAGCTGCTATTGCATTAATCTCATCCACAAATGTGTTGTATGCACCCTCATATCTGCCAGGTCAAGGACATAAAATCAATGTGTAACAATAAAGACTAAATATTAATAAAATGCAACACACAGAACAAGAGGAGATACTTATTGCTGTAAGAGAAGCAATTCAGCAGAAAAGAGAGCAATATACTCACACAATCTCTTTTATTTCTTCTGGAGGAGTGTGGGGCAGATGCCAAGGTTCACTGAAAGTATTAGGACCAATGAAATACATTCTGTGCACATGACTCTGAGACTCCTCAACTCTGTTTGTTTCCAATACCTGAAAGGGAAAAAAGGCACAATTAAAGTCAACCAAGGGGGATAATGGGCAAAAAAACAAGGGATTTGATAGCCTAACAAATACATGAGAATAAATACAAATATCAGCATAGAAGGCCAGGAATTCTATGAAATAATAAAAGGAATCAACACATAAAAATTGTATACAACCTCATTTAATGACTCCAGGAATGGGAAAGAGTGATCTATCTGAGAACCATACTGAGTGGGAGCTGGGCCCGGTAATTCATCAACCCCAACAAACTTCATTCGTGCAACACTAAGCACCAGTGCTAAGAGGATGAGAAGACCCACAAGTAAAAGACAAAATAGCCAAGGACCCCCAAATGTGTAAATTAACTCTTCAAGGGCCGTATAACAGTGTGGCATGTGATATCTGTCGGAAATGCATTCATAAGGACAAGGGGTTTCAGCAATACCACCTGTGGAGAAAGGAGTAGGTTTTGAATATTAAATGACCATAATGAAGAAGACATTCAAAATTAATTTATGTTAAACAGGACATGAAATCAGAAGAAAAATACACTTCAGGATAAAAAATCCAAAAACTGTAGTGCAGTATGCCATTTGAATCTCATATAAGATAAACTTTAGTCAATACTGACAACATTCAAATGTACCTCGAACAGCAATATAAACAGCACGGGAGGGAAGCTCTGAAGCAGGACAAGGATGACAGAGAGAACTATCAGATCCACTAACATTCTTGTACGTACCAACAGGACATTCCTGGAGAAACAGAAAAGTTAACCAACTCTTAACAAGAGAAAGTATTAACCAATTTGTATCAGTTCAAAAGAAGAAAAAAGATTTTTACAAACTAGGAGAAAGAGATGAAAGATACACTTGCTCCAACCAATTACACAACTATCAGAACAAAATAAACTTCCTCCACAAAATTCATTCACATTAAATTTCCCCATAAATTCAGACATAATTGGATTGGATAGAAATTTTTTCCCATTAAAAAAGTGTAAGCATTTCAATGAAGAATTCATGTTAATTTCGTTATTGAATAATTTTAAAGTTCCAAGTGCTTCAAATAAAAGTATAACCTCAACTATCAAAATCCATGTTAAACAAAAAGATTCTGAAAATTTTCAGAATG